ATGATCATTTCTCTATGCTATGTTATGATTGAGTAGTTTCTTAGTCTCACTGTTTTCAATATAATATTTACAAACAGTTTTTGCCACATACTTGGAATTTTCCCTCTAAAATGATTATCAGTTCCTCACATGCCCATATTAAGGATTTTCTAAGTCTAATTCTCACAGTTTGGTTATGAGTTATTCTAGAATTCATCTCCATCTTCTGACTTTTTTTTTTTTTTTTTTTACTCTGGTCAGTCAAGAAAACCCATACCATACACCAAATACTTTTCATGGTATTTCTTTCACTGTATATCCATTCAAAGCTCTTACCTCTGCTTTACATAAAGTATTGAATAATTTATTCCAATCAGGGTCTTAGCTGTTTTATAATAAGCATAGTCTTTCCTGCACTTCCGAAATCTAGTTCCCCATTTTCTTTCTTTCTTTTTTTTTTTTTTTTTTTGGTTTTTTTCGAGACAGGGTTTCTCTGTGACTTTGGAGCCTGTCCTGGAACTAGCTCTTGTAGACCAGGCTGGTCTCGAACTCACAGAGATTCGCCTGCCTCTGCCTCCAGAGTGCTGGGATTAAAGGCTTGCGCCACCATCGCCCGGCAAGTTCCCCATTTTCACATAGTTTATTATCAAAGCTGCCTTACCATTTTTATTGCCACCAGCATTTTGATATAGATGACTCAAGTGATTGCTAAGATTGAAATTCTTTACAGCGCCCTTCTTTGGATGCCCCCAGAATTTCTCATTATATTTCACTTGCAACAATTACAAGATTATTCTAAACTTCACTGAAGCTTTTCTCCTTTATCCATCTCCTACCCAGACACAAAATACTCCCACTTCTTTATGTGGGAGGATATCACATCTATATCACACTATAATCACATCCTATTCCTGGAACCACTATTTATTCTTTTTTCTTTGTCCTGCTCTACTGTAAAATTGGACATTTTCTAAATAGTAGAATGTATTTCTGGAAACTAGGAGGTCCAAGATCAAGCATCCCCAGATTGTATGTTTCACGGTTCTCTCGTCCTCCAAGATGGTGTGGTGAGCATTGCATTCTTGCCCAGAAGAATGGAAATGTCAAAGATGAACTTGGCCTACTTACCCAAAGATCCCTCCTAAGAAGGATCTAAAAAAAAAAAAACCCGACATCTTGAATTTTGCAGGAAAATGGATTGAGCTAGAAAACATCATTTTGAGTGAGGTAACCCAAATACAGAAAGGCAAATATCAGGTGTACTCTCTCATAGGTGGTTTTTAAACATAAAGCAAAGAAAACCAGCCCACAAATCACAACCCCAGAAAATTTAGACAACAATGATAGCTCTAAGAGAGACATACATAGATCTTATCTACATGGGAAGTAGAAAAAGACAAAATCTCGTGAGTAAATCGGGAGCATGGGGACCTTGGGGAGGGGTTAAAGAGGAAGGGCAAGGCAAGGAAGGGAGCAGAGAAAAATGAAGTACTCAATAAAAGTCAATAAAAAAAAGGATCAATCTCATTCAGAAGGACAGAATTTTCATAACCTAATTTCAACTACTTATCACATTAGCCATTAGGTTCTAACATATGAATGTGTGGATGATTTATATTTACATGTATATTTATCCAACTGTATCAGTTTTCATTAAGTAAACTGTTAATCATTTATTGAAAATTTTAATACCATTATCCCTATAAAATAATTTAAGATAGTGTTTGCACCCAGTATGTTTTCAGCATGATCTCAAGTTGTTAAGAACTGCATAAGGAGTGAGGTTTCTCTAGAAACGCTTCTTCCTATTGGATTCATTCTTTTGGAAGGGGTGATGCTATTCAGTAGTGAATGGCATATACATTCTTTGGTGTTTTTCTAAAGTAGTACCTCCAGCCTTTTTTCCTTCTAACCATCTCCCAATGAGTGAGAGGACTAAGAAAGTGTTTTGAATGCATCAACTGACATTCTTTCTGCTGTGTGTCTCCAGTCAATTCTGTAGTCATCCCTTAAGCCCAATTCTCAGGCAGTGGGGGAAATTTTCTCAGAAGGTTAGAATACTCAATCAGCGGACATATATAATCCTTATATAATCTGACTTCTTGTTGGTACACGTTAGAGAGAGTATAACCTGCAAACTTGCAGTGCTGGGAGAGAATGTCTTGCTTTCTCTAATCCAAAAGAAGAGTCATCTTATTAACACTAATAATAAAACCAGAAGATGCAAGCTCAGGACTATAGCCACCCATTGTAATTTTTTATTTTTAGAAACAGAAAAGAATAAAATTATATAACACTGATTGAGGATATCATATCCTTGTCTGGTCATAAAGGTCTAGATGCTATTTATTTAAAATTGGGGTTTTCATATTAGTAACTGAAATAATGTCTTACATGGAACAAAGTCACATACATCCTTAAGAAGACTTGAGATTTTTAAGATATGAAAGTAGAATGACACTCACTTGCGTGGCAATTTTCAAATAAAAAAAACTAATATGTCTTTCCAAGAAAATTAATTTACCAATCCAGTGACTCATTCATTAACCTGTTCAAATAATCTTCTTTTTAAGTAATATGATATATTTGAAATTCATATGACTTACTAAATAAATGGAAATTAGCCTGAATGCTGGGACTTAATAGTGAAATTGGAGTTTTGAGAGTCTTCATTCATGTGTGTGTAACAATAATTATCTACAGGGGCTAGAAGTGGTTCAAATATCCTGGAACTAAGAACATGATAAAGCACTTCCACAAACTGTTTCATTCTTGTCTTTCATATGGTGTCATCCATTCCATTGCTAATAGGATAAAGCTGATCCAAAACTTCCAAAGCTCCCTGTGAGCACCAATTTTTTTGTACCTGATTTAACTGGGTTTACACCTTTCAAAATTCCATACCCATTCCTTTTTAAATAAATAATAATCATTTTATTCAATATTCTGCACATAACAATTTGTTGTGCTATTTCATATGAAATTGCTCTTTTCAAGATAGCACCTTTTTTGAAATTGTTTTTCCTATGAGATATTAAAATCTCAGTCAGGCAAATAAGTAAATAAATGAAGAAACTAAGTAGAGTTTATGTGAGTCACTCAAAACTGAACAGAAATATAGAAACTTTTGAAGGTGAGATTACGTCTCTCTAAGGAGAGTTATTTCTGCTGTGTTTTGAAAACTGGGTATTGTCAGTTGATGGAATTAGAGGAAATGTCTTCATTAGAAAGACAATGAAATACATCAGTTCTGGGGAAACAAAATCCAAGAATGTCTGAGCAACAGAAAGGTCAATGCGGCTTAATCTAAAGGATCAAGTAGGAGACAAGGAACTGTTGGTAGTAAAGTTGCTGAGAGAATTATTCCTTTAAATGTCTGGCCTATGGTACATTGTCTATAGCTCTAGTGGATTGCTGTATACCCATAAACTTATGGGAGCCGCACTAGTTGATGGAAAGCGCTCTCAAGAAATAAAACAAAATGAAACAAGAAGAGAAGAGAAGAGAAGAGAAGAGAAGAGAAGAGAAGAGAAGAGAAGAGAAGAGTGGGGAAAGGAGGGGAGGAGAGGGATTGAGAGGAGAGGAGGGGAGAGAAGAGAAAAGAAGAGAAGAGAAGAGAAGAGAAGAGAAGAGAAGAGAAGAGAGGAGAGGAGGGGAGAAGAGAGTAGAGGAGGGGAGAAGAGAGTAGAGCAGGGGAGAGAAGAAGAGAAAAGAGGAGAAAAGAAATAGAAGCCAGGAATGGACCATTTGGGTGAAAACTTGGGGCGTGTTAGGGAATGTATATGATCACTTTTAGTTACATACTTAATGTAATATCAAAAATAAACAAAAATAATATTCACAGTATCTTGCAAAAAGGCTAAATGAATGAAAAACCAGTTGGAAACACAATGTAATATTTATCTTGAAAAAAACTGAGTAACACAATAAAATAACACATTCGAAACTTTTATCTAGACCTGAGGAAAGGGCTCAGTGGGTGAACTCCCTGCTTTATTGGCCTGAGGACTTGCCTTTTGGTTCCCAGCATCCAAGCAAATGTCCCAAGTGTTATACCCTGCACCTGTAACTACAGTGCTTAGCTGTACTTTTAGTTTGGATAGACAGAGACAAATGGTCCCTGGAGCATATGAGCCAACCTACAGAGGCAAGCATATGGGTTGTATGTTCAATGAGAGACTTTATTTCAATAAAAAAAAAAATGTGAGGGAAATCAAGTATGATACCCAGAATCAACATCTGGCCTCCACATTCTCAAACTCAAACATGGATGCATATGTGCCCATATGCACCCACTCAATGAACATATACATATACAACAATAACACAGGTATTTACATGTGCACACATTCATGCCAAGATGATTCCAGCCTATAAATAGAGGTGGAGTTTTTCTGTCCCGACTGCCTAGTCCCAAATAAACAAACCAAAGTTCTCATTAATTAATTATAGAATGCTTGGCCCATAACTCAGCTTATTACTAACTAGCTATTACATTTACATTAACCTACTTTTATTAATCCATATATTGCCACATGGCTCATGTCTTTATCTGTCCCCTAGCTTCTTGTTACCCTGCTCTGCCCTTCATCTCAGTTTTTAGCTTGATTGTCCAAGCTAAAATCAGTAATTTTCTATAGGCTATTCCTGTAGGTTAAGCAATTGGAACGATAAATTATTTTCCCACCTGTATTCTTCTTATGCATATATCTTGTATACGTTGAAAATGCGCACAGCAGGAGTTTTTATGGCAGCAACTTAAAAGCTAATTTTGCAATTAGCCATTGTATTTCCTAATGGAAAGTACATTCTTAGGTAAACTTTTTTGCAGTGTTTTCCATTTTTAAAGAGAAATTTTGTCAATTTGCATTGGCATTATTCAAAACATTGCCCTTACATACATTTTTTTGAAATAAATAAAAGAGATAATTTTGTGTTTCAATCCTTTGTCCATCCCCATTAGCGATTAGCCACAGTAATGTAAATTTACCTTTTAAAGAAATTACCCTTTTATTTTTCAGATTGTCGCCTTGCGTGAGCAAAATGTTCATATCCAGAGAAAAATGGCATCAAGCGAGGGATCCAGAGAGTCAGAGCACCTGGAAGGGATGGAACCTGGCCAGAAAGTTCATGAAAAGGTATGATACACACGACCTGATTTAAGTGGAAATGTTTGCTTGCCAATTCATTTGATAGGAATATAAAAAAAATAAAATCATATGTTGAGTTTTTTTCATCATAAGTTCACACTGGTTTTTTCCTTAGTACTTTCAATTCATTAATTTTAAAGATTAATGTGTTTGCCTTGTAGGTATATAGTTACGCATATATATGTGACATGTTTATTAATTGCTGTCAATTCGATTATATACAATTTAATCTATATATTAAAGATATATAAAATATACAATTTAAACTCCATATAGAGTGTTTGTATGGTACTGTCTTGGAAATACTATTCATAGGTTTCTCAATTTACAGGTATTTTGGCACACAGTGTATTAAAGAAAAAATGTCCTTAATAATAACTATTTTTCTTTTTTTATTTAGCACTTAAATTCTTTATCTTTTCTCACAGATCCCAGTCTTACTTCTGATAATAAAACACTATGGGAGTCAATAGATGAAGCCATTTTTACCACTTTCAGTCATTCACTGGTTCATTTATTCATTCACCTTTAGTAAGAAGCCATTTTTCTTTGCAATGCAGTTTAGACACAGGAAAGGTATATAAGTGGTCTGTGTAGCCACTATCAGAAGACAGTTACTGTGTTTCAAATGTAAGATGAGAAGCATAAATTGTAAGAGGCTCTTAAACTAGATGAAAATTCCTGAAATATTTGCATAAACTGTGCTTAAAACTCAAGAGAATCTACTTGTTTGCCTGTAACACTTTATATTTTGGGACACCAAATCTCCTTAGGTATTAAGAGCACATGAGCTAAGTAGCTAAACTGTTGTAATTGGAAGTGCCATGAGGCTCTAAAACCCGGAGATTAAGACGTGATGCAATGACAGAGCAAGTCGCATTAGATTCCTGATGAAGTGTAAAGCGAGTGCTTCATGGCTGAAGCTGTTGAAACAGACAGCGGGGCATATCAGTCTTCTTCCTTCAGTGCTAAGGGAGCCCAGTAGCCCGGATAAGTTTCCAGGGATCACCTTCAGGCCTGACTTCCAACAACTGGACAAATCTTCATACAGAACCCATCATTTTAGACTTCTCATATTTTATTGAAATATTAAGCTGAATGTTAATAATACATCAATTATGATGGTTTTATAAGCTGTGTGTGACATTAGAGTGAAAAAAACACATTTTTCTCTCCCCTAAATCAATCAGTGTGCCATCAACCTCTTTAGGGCAGCGTATGTGCATCAGGAAAACATTGAGGAAAGGGACATAAATTTTGCCATTGACATCATTTAAATGATTTCATCAGTAATAGATTTTCCTCAAACTATGAAAGCACAAATTTGGTTATGAAGATTAAATATATATATTACAATTTTTTTACTCTGGCATCTAATAGAAAATATATAAAATAACATTTGTGTACGTGTAATACAAGATGAAAGAAATATTTCATATATGCTTTTAGGTGTAAGACACTCACATATTTGTCTTTTTTAACACACATATATGCAAATACATATATATCTGCATTCTTCTACAGTTATGCACCAACAAATGATGTTTCATTTATGGACATGTGGCACAAACAATATATATGCCAGCTATCACATGTAGTAAGCATATCATCTAGTGTGTAACTAATCTGTGATTCCAAGGTGACAATATTGCTTCCTGATGAATTATTCATAATTTGGGAGACCTTCTCATTTTATGTAACACGCGGCTCCATACTCTTTCTACTCAAAATATTGCTTCTAAGATGAACAGTCATTGGAAGATTTTAAGATAGTTTCTATCAGATTAATTTACAAGTTACAGCTACAGAACTAGGATAATCGGCAATTCTGTACAGCTTGTTTTGGTCTTGAATAGACCTCATACCTGCAGGTATACATATGAAGGATTCTGAGATACTGATGACTTGAAAACTTTTGCAGTTTTGTTCATTCTTTTGACAAGAACATAAACAAAACTTAAACATTGTGGTCATGGATAGCCTTTTTTTTTCTTAAATTTCTGACAAGCTTGGGATTGACAGTATATTATTATTGTTTAAAATACCACACACACAGCCTTCAGAATGTGCTTCGTGCTGGATGGATAGTTTTATGTCAATTTGAAACAAGCTAAAGTCATCTGGGAAAAAATAACTTCAATTTTAAAAACATCTCCAGAAGATTAGGTTGTAGACAAACCTGGAGGGCATTTTCTTTATTAGTGATATATGAGGGAAGGCCCAGTCCACTATTGGTGATGCTAATCCGTAGGTTAATGGTACTGAGCTCTATTAGAAAGCCAGTAGACAGCACTTCTCCCCAATGGCCTCTAAATTAGCTCCTGCCTATTGGATTCATCCCCGCTTGACTTCCTATCCTGACTTCTCCATTGACTGACTACACTTTGCATGTGGAAGCCAAATAAATCCTTGTCCCCTCAGCTTTCATTTGTTCATGGTGTTTCATCACAGCAATAAAACCTTAACTAAAACAGAAATCAATACCAGAATAGTGGGATATTGCTGGGACAGACCTGACTGTGTATTTTTTGGATGGATTATGGAAGTACTTGGAACTTTGGGCAGGAAAAGCCATTCAGAGCTTGGCAAGCTGTTCGGTGCGAACTTGGAAGATGAGAAAGTTGAGAGAAACATGGACAACAGAGCCTTGGCTGTGGAGTTTAAGAGGGAAGCAGAGACTTCACAGGGCCTTTAGTGTGAAGAATCGGTAGCGTCTGGTCAGCTGGAGCAGAAAATAATAAACTGTGATTATCAGGAGACCAGAACCACTCAAGTACAACCTTTGCTTTTCTGAGACAATGAGCCAAGAAATTGGTGGTGATTAAGAAAAGACCAGCATTCCTAAGGTGAAGTATTCTTGGTAGTGTTTACTTAGAGTCAGCACAGTCTCCTGGGAAGTAGTTGCTTTGAAGGCTTGAAGGGGCAACTGAGGCTTGGCACTGTTATAGGCCAGGAGAGGCAGCAGGTGAAGGGGGAGCAGAAGTACTGGTGGAAGCAAGCAATGAAGGGGTCATGGAGAGAGTTGAAGCATTGTACCTTAAAGAAGGTCCAGGGGAGGCTATTGGTGGAAGAGCAACACAATTACTGCAGAGACCTTAGCATTTTGGAGATGCCAGTACCCTATGGTGACCCCCAAGAATAACAACAGGTATGGAGTAGATACGAATGACCACTAAGAACAGCAGCCTAGAAAACAACCTGTGTGTATTACAAAGGGCAGAGCAGGAGAAGGGACTCAGGCCTCTTGGTGGAACCCAGAAAATTATGAGTAAATCTCAGATATTGGACCCTGACTAATTTATAATGTTGAATTTGGGTTTTACCTTGATCTGATCAGGACTGTGTACTCTTTCTTTCCTCTTGAGATAACTTATTTTTTATTTTATAGCAGCAGACAGTTGAGATACTTTCAGTTTGAAAGGAGACTTTGGACTTTAACAGGGGCTTTGGATTTTGTTTAGAAACTGAATTTTGAAAGTGTTTGAATTTGTAAAGTTACAGACCTTTTTAAGTTTGTAATTTTTCTATATTGTGGTGTTTATATGAATGTGTGATCTTAGGGATCACACAATAAAGAACAATAAAGAAAAGGTTGTGGCTTTAGAGTGATGTTTGTGTGCTAATTTGACAAGGCATCAAATGTGCTAGCTAGTTTTATATCACCTTGACACAAGCTAAAGTCATCTGAGAAGAAAGAATCTCAATTAAGAAAATACCTTCATAAGAGCCGGCTGTAGGCAAGACTGTAGGTCATTTTCTTAATTAGTGCTTGCTGAAGGAGGGCTCAGCTCCTTGTGGGTAGCACCACCCTGGGTTAGTGGCCCTGTAATCTGTAAGAAAGCAGTCTGGACAAGTCAACAAGAAGCACTCCTCAAGGTTTCTGTCGTGTTTGAGTTCCTGTCCTGACTTCCTTCTGTGATGAACAGGAATTTGTAAATTTAAGTCAAATAAACCCTTTTCTTCCCAGATTGCTTTGGTCATGATATTTCATCACAGTAATGATAGCCCTAACTAGGGCATGCCTACAACATATAATTTGTACTTTATTTTTTATTTATTTATTTTTAATTTGTTTTTATTGAAGAAAAAAAATTTCCGCCTCCTCCCAACCTCCCATTTCCCTCCCCCTCCTCCCACTCCTCTCCCCCTTCCTCTCCAGTCTGAACAGCAGTCAGGGTTCCCTGCCCTGTGGTAAGTCCTAGGTCCTCCCCCCTCCGTCCATATCTAGGAAGGTGAACATCCAAACTGGCTAGGCTCCCAAAAAGCCAGCACATTACGTAGGTTCAAAACCCCGTGCCATTGTCCTTGGGTTCTCATCAGCCCTCATTGTTCGCCATGTTCAGAGAGTCCAGTTTTATCCCATGCTTTTTCAGTCACAGTCCAGCTGGCCTTGGTGAGCTCCCAGTAGATCAGCTCCACTGTCTCAGTGGGTGGGTGCACCCCTTGTGGTCCTGACTTCTTTGCTCATGTTCTTCCTCCTTCTGCTCCTCATTGGGACATTGGGAGCTCAGTCCGGTGCTCCAGTGTGGGTCTCTGTCTCTATCTCCATAAAATAAATAAACTATGATCCATTTTATATGATTAAAGATGTGATCAGTTTCTCATGATTAAATAATTGCTACATATTAGAGCAAATTTCTCTGTTTTTTATAAGTGTCAATCAGATACAGAAAAATAGATAAATCTGAGTTATTATTTTCTTAATTGAGGTAAATATTTATGTAATGAAGTTTATCAGTAAAGGATTTCGTGTGGTATCAATGCTTAAATTGCCAAATTATTGTTCAGAAGAAAATAATCTACATTGTTGTTAGCTAACAATAGAAGTAATAGAAGGTAATGCATAATCCTAGTCACAAGTACCACCCCTTCTTCAGGATAGTAAAATTACTTGAATTATATAACCAGGGTAGATTATTAGCCTTAATGGGATGTTTTATATCAGTGGCTTGAGAATTCCATTCACAAAATAGCCTCACTGAAAATATACACTGGCGTGGGCTTTGTTACCCTCAGAAGGCCTACAATTTTTCTGAACATTTCCAAAATAAAAATAAAATAAAAAACTGAATTAAAAAAAAGAAATAAAAAGAGAAGGAATGGATATGACTGCTCCGAGGTATGGTGGTAGAAAAGATTTATTGTAGATACATGGGAGAGAATAGTCAGAAGGAAAAACAGGGACATCTGGGAGAGTCCAGAGTGGACATGACTAAATTGAGCTGAGCCATGTGTGAGAGGGGGACAGGTAAGGGAGAAAGGAGAGAGGGGAACCAGATGCACCAGTCAGGAGGTCCAAAGGGACAGGAAAGTAGGCTACCAAAATGGTTGGATTATACTGGGAAGGACAACCCAGCTCCCTGAGTTGTAGAGTTTAGGGTACGGGGTTGGATATGCCAGCCAACAGTGCCCTGAAACAGGTACGGACAGAAGGATTGCATGGAAAATCTTGTGGCCAACACTTGCTTTGATAAGTCATAAAGACACCACAGCCATTTATCCCAGATTTGAAACAAACAAACATAGTGTAAATTCTTGCTATCACTTGCTGCCTTCTAAGTTTTGTAAATCAGGCATTAGAATAACCACGAGATGATATTTCACTTTGACTTTATTTTGTGCCTCCCTGATGACTTCTAACCAAAAAGAAAATTTTCATTAATCTGGTCATACATAAGTCTTATTTTGAAAAATGCCTTTCTAGGTCCTTGTAGATTTCCTTAATATGTTTTTCTTTTGTGTTGTTTTCTTGTTTTTGAGTTCTTTAATCTAACAATTTTTAAATGTTTTGAGTATTGGTTGTAAGATACTTTAGAAACATAGATTCTCCTACTTTCTAGGCATTCTTTTCAAAAAGTGAAAATAATTATTTCAAAATATTTAACTTCTTTCAACTAACTCCACTTTAGCATATATAAAGTTTTAAATCCTTAGAATCTAGAAATCAACATTTTTGAGTTATATCTCTTCCAAAGATACCAGGATCATCATATAAATTCTGTTCTTTTAACAAAATCATAAATTTTATTTGTATGAGTGTCATTAAGACTAAACACTGTAATTTTAGATACCTATTTATCACTTTAAGAACTATATTGGAGCAGTACGGAAGACCTAACTAAAGAAGGGAATATGGGGGAGAGGCAACTAACACTAAAAGCTCTTTGAAAAGTCATATGGAAATCTAGCATTGTAGAAGATTCCTAAAATATGTAAATATATGAAAGTAATTTAAATGAAGACATTACATGATGGGGGAGACAATGCTCTAACTAGTCACTGTAAGCCAGTAAGTAAGCAGAACTTGTGGGGCCAGTAACAAATTACATATTGTTCAGCAGTTGGCCAAAGGGCCCTCTAAATTGCTCAAACACCACAGGCTATTGTCAAGACTTTTGACGACCCTACACAGACTGATAGTATGTCCCCATTGCAGAAAACACCCAATATTTACGTCATTGAACATGGAGGAATAACGCTAGTCCCCAGCTAGAAGCTTAACCTTGACTGACTTGCATTCACAATACTGGAATGTACTTTGCACACACAGGAGGATAAATGTAATCATCAATATCACACAATTAAAAGCCCTAAGACCTACAAGAGAGATCTGCCTGCAAGATATACTGGTGCAATAATGGCACAGATGTTGTGGCAATAACCAGCCACTTCTTTATTTAAAGCTTACTCTATAAATAGAAACACCTAACATTAATAGTTGCCAAGAATCAGATACTAAATAGATCATTGGCCCTAAGGGAAAATCTAACATTATTAATCCACTAAAGAAACATATTGATAAAGTGATTCCTAATGACTTATGCCTATGTGAATAGATCATTGCATCATACAGCCCTCATCAAAGAAACTTCTTCTTATAGTATATCGTAATTCATACAGAGAACCACAAGTGGACAGTATATAGAATGGCACACAGCCTTAAATGTGCTGTCTTTATCAGCTGCACCCTCTTTCCCATGCTGGGGAATCTAGGTGGAAGAGAAGGCAGGGGAAAGCCACATCTTCCTTACACAAAAGGATTTTTACACATATGAACTCAGAGAGACTTGCATCACATGCAAGATGCACAAATCAAACCAGACCAAAAAGCACAGCACTGAGAATAGGAGATGCACACCAAGTCCTATAGGAAGGTATTTGCCTCTGACACCTTCTGAGGAAGGGAAAAATCAATTTTATCCAACTCAGTGTCACTGGGTATATGAACCACACTCTATGGCAGGCCCTACTCATAGGAGTCATTGGATAACTCAAAAGAATTCCATGTTTTCAGAAATTAGATAGTTAGGGAGGCAGGAGAATCTGGGGGGATTTGGGGTACTGGAAAGAATGCAATCCGAAAAAAGTGTATAAAATCCTTGAATGGAAAAATAAAATGGAAAAAAGCTTGCAAAGTTCAAAAGAATCTGAATAAAAAATAAAAATATCACAATGTTTATATCTCTTTCTATTGACTAAAATAGTGTGCTATGCTTATCATATATGTTTATATGCAGATATATGTATCTATGCTAAATTACATATATAATATTGCTTTCTCATCTATACATATAAACTTGGTGTGCAGATGCTTCTGTTATCCTGTTTGAAAATTACCCATTTGTTTTCACACCCTTCATAGGACATATTTTAAAATTATATATATATCATTATTTTTCTCTGTGTGTGTATTTCTGTGTGTGATGTGCATATGTGAGATATATTATGAACATGTGTGTGCAGGTACCCATGCAGTCCAGAAGAGAGCATAAGATGGAACTAGAGTCACACGGGGTTGTGAGTAGAACCCTTCCAGGTCTTCTGGAAGAGAATCCACTAAGACAGTGTCCTTAACTGCTTAGTCACCTCTCCAGCTCTTATACATTGTTATTTCTATATTACTACCGGATTTCTCAGAAAATAGTTTTTCTCCAGCACTAGCTTGTTTCAGAATTCTTGTTTCTCATTGTGAAACTGTTTGGTTTCTCTTTTTTTTTTTTCTCACATGCATTTGGGTTAAGGATAAAGAGGGTCCTAAGTGGCCTGCTTTTGTCTTCCTCCAGCGTCTATCCAATGGTTCCATAGACTCAACAGATGACACCAGCCAGATAGTCGAGCTACAAGAGTTGCTTGAAAAGCAAAACTATGAAATGGCCCAAATGAAGGAACGCTTAACAGCTCTTTCTTCCCGAGTGGGAGAAGTGGAACAGGAAGCAGAAACAGCAAGGAAGGACCTCATAAAAACGGAAGAAATGAACACAAAGTATCAGAGGGACATCCGCGAGGTAGGTGGTTGGTTAATCGCGTTCTCTGTCTTTACTTCTTGAATGACTTTCCAAGGTTGTTCCAAAAATCTGTCTCCATCTCTTTCCCTAGCGACTGGTAACTTCTTGAAGACCATAATTAGGAATGTTATTTTAGTTATACTCTTTCAGTAAGATAGCAAGAGTTTACTTACTGACCCTTTAAATATGTATGAATGGAAAGCTTTGCTATCCAAGTCTCAGCTACTCTAAAGTCTTTGTAAAGATTTAATGACATCTCAAGGCCTCAAGGTTTTAAATTTGAATAACTGTGCTTGTGGGAATGAATCATGCTTTTCTGTGTTATATAGGAGTGCTCAAAACATTATTTTCACTTGTCTGTTATTTGTGTCTCTGAATGCCTGTTCATGAATATTCTATGCATATGTATAATATAACATTTCTTTTTGTGTATATTCCTCTCTTGCTAGGCTTAGTATTGCTTTGTCGACAAAAAAAAAGAAAAGGAAAGAAAGGAAGGATTTAAATTTATTAAATTATCGAGAAACATATTTTATTTATAATGTCTTAATATATAAATACCTACTAAGATAAATGTTGAAAATTCTTCTTTTTATTTTTCTTGCTTTCAAAAATACAGCCTTTTTCCATTTCTTAAATTTTGTTTTTCACATTTTACCTTTTCTACTTGTACAGTATCTTTTGAAGTATATCTTAGTATCTTCAAGTGTGTTTCTTTGTGGCTAGGTAGTTAATATATCTGTCTCTATTAGTTATCTCGAAATTTGTATTTCTTTTTTCTTGAGGCTATATTATCACACTTGCTTCCCTAGCCCCAGTAAGAGTATTTGTAATAAAGTATCTTATTAATTACGTTACTGAATGAATGGATCAATTCTCAGTCCTTAGAAGCGCTAGTTCATGTCCACTCTTCTGTCCTTGGAGAATGTGTTTTTCTCTGGGCTAGTCGCATGCCAATCTCTCCTGGATGTCCTCCGCTTTACTCTTCCCGTTACCATCTCTGCTGTTACAGTGGTTGGCTTTCCTTCCCCTTCCTCATTATGTCTTTTCCTTTCAGTCTTCCATTGCTTTGCTTAAGCTAGTAAAGGTTAATGACGCACACACAAATCAACCATAGACTCTCAGTTTCATTCTCTACCTCCCTTTTTTTCCCCTCTCACTTTCCCAGTGTTGTACCTAAAACTCCAAATGACATCTCAGCAATACTAACTTGGCATTCATTTCTTCTCATTCTTCTGGTAAAAGTTTGTTTTCAGAATTTCATGCATCCAGTATTATTGCTTAGGCCAAAATCTTAATGGTTCCATGAAATTTTCTTTCAATTTCATGCTGCATTTGTTTACATGGTAAATCCTATAATCTATAAATCAATAAAGCAGTCTTCAACTGCTTTCTCTCTTTTTATGAAATCATTATCTTTGAAGATGATATTACAATACTCTACTTAGTATTCTCTCCATGGCTTATGTCTTCTGATGAATTGCTTCACACTACTTTTATTCTTATAATTTCTTAATTGCTTTATATTCTACTTTTAGTAACAATAAATCCATGTAAGTAGCTTGAAAAATATGACCATGTCATTCTAGCCCACTCTACTCAATTAAAGTAGACTCTTAAGCTAGTAGGACTTGTTTGATTTTATTTTCTCATCCTCTGTCATTCACTCAAATGCTCCCCTCTTGAACACGTGTTCCCTGGCCTTGTTTTATATAGGTGCCGACTTTCCTTCATATTTCATTCCATATTTTAATCCCCCAATATACATTCTCCCTTATCCTAAACATGTCCTTCATTGAGTCCTATTTGTTTCACTTTTTTACCCTCCTTACACAACTGCTGAGCACATAATATCAAAAAAGCTTTTTTTTAACTAAATGGATACTTATCATCCTTTATTAAAATGTAAAGTTAGAACATTCATTGACATATCACTCAGCATGAAGGAGAAAGAAGAATGAAGTCACAGTTCCACTGAAATTCTGATAATGAAACAATTTCATATAATCTCAGAGCTCATAGATATAGCTTGCTTCTTTGTTGCTTCCTATAGCTCAAATTCATAATAAATAGTGTAATTTAAGGAATATTAGGACCTCAGCCTTTTTAAGTCTACCTTTCACTATTACTTGAATTTTTGCTCATTCTCTAGTTCTTGTTCGTAGTTCCAGAGATCTAGTTCCTTTATTTACATTTTAAGCAGTCATATAATTTATGTTCGGCTAGGTATCACAGAGAGGCTACTGTATCTCCTGTTCACCCTTCCTTATTGTACATTTTAAAATAACCCCTTAATATAAATTGTGCTTAGATAAAGGTGACCAAAAATCAGGTCAAACAGTAGGCATCAACTGTATTGCCAGAGATTGATTCAGTAGGAATCTATTTTGATGGCTTAGGTCTTCCCCTGGGTAAGTAATTTTTATGTAATATATAATTGTACTTTTGAGGTTTCTAATTCCCTATGTGGCCATATTTCAGTTGAGACTTAGGAAAAGGAAGCATATCCCATTATCCCCTTCGAAGGGAGTTTGGAAGAAGATGTTTTTGGAGTCTGGCAGCCAATGGATGTGTGAATACTAGGTGTGAGATAGTAGGAAGTGACACTCTTGAAAAGACCTGTGAAGCGCCTGCACTCAGTGCACTCATCCTGCCTGTCTCTATAAAGCTCCTACTATGTTCTGACTCTCCTCTCTAATGTCCCAGTGACATATGTGAAAAGTATTTTGTTTCATAAAAAAAAAATAGCATCAGACTATTACCAAATTTGCATGGAAATTTGAGTAATCTAATTCTGTAATCCTGGATCATGGTCACTTATATTTGGCTTCAGAATAAATTCTTTTATTCTCTTTCAGTTGAGAGTTATGTTTTGCATAACTCAATGGCAGCTTTCATACATTATTTCGGCCACTTAAATAACCAGTATTTTTGTCATTCTTTTCAAAAGTTAAAAGGATGTGAAATTCCTATCACTTAAACTCCAAGTCCAGACTCTGCTGCCTAGTAATATTTCCCTGGATTTTGATCTTATAAAGTCTGATGTATTGTGGATTTCTTAAGAAAGAGGAAGATAATTCACCTTTATACCCTCTCAGAATTACATCACAGTAGCATGTCAATATGGCATGAATAAAAAAACACTCTGAATAAATGAAGGAAAAACTCGGATAACAGGGTAACAACCAACCATTTAATTAAAAATTGAAATGTGTTTCACATTGTATATAAGGACAATCTAATAAATCTGAACTGAGTTATATAATAATGTGCAGTCAACGGTTTCTGAGCATAGTTTTAACTGCTTTATTAAAAAAATATGACGTTTCATTTTAGCTGCTCTTTGCATTAATACAAATCTAAAAGTAGATGGAACTAAACATTATGTAATTATTGAAAAAGTAATTGTAATTTGTACATTTGCCCTCTACTTTTTAATCAAGAGGATATTAGACATACATAGATAACACTTCACTCTCTTCATATGTGTGCAGAGAGCTTAACTTTTCTGTGAAGTGTTTGAGCTAAATTTATTTTGTGAATGAAGCTAGCGTATCTTTCTGACGCCACACTTAAAGCTCTTTTCACATTTGCAAAGTAATCAAATAAATTAATATATAAGTTCTCATTTACATTAGTTGAGACATGAATTACATTACCATAGAACTATATCTGATATAATAAAATCCAGTTATATATATTTTGGGTTAGGGGGTCATTGTATTTTTACACTATTTTTCTTTTTATGTAACAGTGTTTAGGAACCAGGAAAAAAGCTTTCTTCTTTAGACTCTCCAAATAACGCAGGGGAAAAGCTATTTCTATGACTTGTAAATTCAAAATTTATTTCTGGTAACACAGCCTGCAGTTAAAAATTGAATCATTCCCATGAATCACTAAGTCAAAAATGCTATTGCAAATCTCCATCCACTGGCTCTAAGTGCACTGTGTGGACAGGTTAAATACGGACTGGTTTGTAATCAGTAATTACAAAGTAGCTATTTAATGAATGTATATTTTACTCTGGGTACTATATAAAGTAGCTGAACTATTACATCACCTAAATCTTTCTAATTATATAGTATTTATTAATCATCCAACAAAAAAAGATTATGAAAGTAAATCAAGGAACAGAAACTCTTACTCATGGGATATACTATACAAACTTTCACTTTCCAGAAAAAAAAATTGTCCCTTATTCCTGAAGATATTGCCATCAGAATTTAGAGAGAAATTTATATGTGCATGCTAGATTCATAATTTTCTTTTATTCAATGAAATTGGAAAATATTCCTAGAAGTCTATGTAAAAATTAACATGAATAATACTTACTAAATAAAAACATAAATTAATAGAAATAAAGATTGAGAATCAACATCTTTTTATCCACTAAGAACTATGATTATTGTTTGGGGGGCTTTCTAAAACCTGGAATACTGATGTTTTACATAATAATCTGAATTATTCTGCCAAAATGACAGATGACCTAAATTTAATGTGTTTAAATTTTAATATTATATAAATAACTATTATTTTACTAGCTCCTGAAGGTCAGGAATATTTGACACAAAAGAGAAGGAATAAAAAACATTTTCCAGGTGAAAATGAAGTCAGAGAGTATTATAGATTCTTACCCTTGCCACAACAAATTGATACAAAGTGATTGTCTCATAATGACTCTCATATAGAAAATATTGTGTGGGCATATGATGTGGATGTGGGATCAAACACGACAGCACACATGTGGAGGTCAGTGGACAGCTTCATATCGCTAGGTGTCCCCTTCCACCTCATGTGGATTGTAGGCACACACCTTGGGTTCTCTGGCGTGCCTTTCCTTAGTTTGTAAATCATTTGGTATGATCAAATATATACAGTAAACCCTCTTTTATAATAAATATGTTAACTATTATTAATAATAGTTTGGATTATTTTTTATGAATAACAAACCAAGGGTCTCCTGCATCCTAGGCAACTTTTATATCCCCGTTGTGTCCCCAGCTCCCACCTGCATTTTAAAACACTCAAGTTTTCCTTTGTGTGGAAGACAGATTTCTGATGGTTTTCTCCTTTTTAAAATGTTAATATCATAATTACAACATTTCTCCGTTCCCTTTCCTTACTTCAAACTCTCCCAAACATTTCTTCCCACCTTTTAAAAAATTTCTGACATCTTTTAATTTATTATTGCCTACATATATGTATCTAATAGACACATATCTATTATCCCTTACATATTACATATATATATATATATATTCCTAAATATATCCTCCTCTGTTTATATAATGTTACTTGTATGATTATTTTCAGAGTTGGTCATTTGATTCAGGAAAAAATCTGATGTTCTTTTCCCTGGGAAAGGCTGTCTCTCCTATTCCTAAATAATCTCAGCTACCTACAATTCTTTCTCTAAGGTGAAGCCCTCATGTGCTTTTCTCCAATGACTGTGGCATGTCCATTGGCATCTTCTTTCTTTAGCTCACATCTGGTCAGTCATCTTTACGAGTTTACATGTGCAGTTTATGGCATTTGTAAGAGACAAAAATCTCAGGAGCGAACACCCTGATGCTCTGGTTATTACAATCTTTCTGCTCCTTCTCTTGCATTGTTCCCTGAGCCGTAGCTGCAGGATCATTCTGTAGATATTTCTATTGGGACTGGGTTTCAAAACTCTGGATTTTGACCTGCTGAGGTTTTCTGTAGTAATCTGTGTCTGTTGTAAGGAGATGTTTCCTTGATGAGGGGTGAAGACTACAGTTACATGTGGTTATATGAACAAATGTTTATATATTATTTAAAGTTATGTTAGATGAGGAAATCATTGGCTTTGGATGTTCTTCTAATAACTGTGACCTTAGTTATAAATATGTGTTATTTATATTTTATATGTGTGTGTGATGATGATATACCTGCATGTATATCTGTGTACTTTGTCTGTGCATGTCTAGTGGCCTGAATAGTGTGTCAGATTATACTGAACTGGAGTTACAGAAGGCACATGGCTGCCACATGCGTACTGGGAACCAAACCTGGCCCTCCGCAAAAGCAGCAAATGTTCTTAGTCACTGAGTCTTCTATCAAGCTCTCTGGTAGTATCGATGCCTTATTTGAAGATAGCTTTCAAACTATGCCAGCAGTGTAACAACCTCTCCTGGCTTTCCGTTCTGCTCATAGTTGTATTTGTTTCTACCTTTTAATGAGCAAATTCACCTGCCATTTAATTCTACAGCAGGAAGCTTGAAAATATGTGTTTTCTACTCTTAGATATTTGAAAGCCCCTTCTGAATTTATTATAAAGAATAAAAACCAAAACATTATCAAGAGACTCAGAGACGCATGGGGTCTTTTAGTTTTAGTTTGTTTTTTAAGACATGGGACGGGGTTTCTTTCTTTCTGTAGCTCTGACTGTCCTAGCACTCAATCTGTAGACCAGGTTAGCCTCAAACTCAGAGATTCCCCTACCCCTGCTTTCAAAGTACTGGATTTTAAGGTATAAGTACCAACCCTGGCATACACAGAATCTTCAAAATGCTCTTGAAGAATGTATCTTTACTCGGAAAAGGCTACTTTCTGATATCTTATCATTTTACTTAAATAAGGAAACGACATCTGTCTGAGACTCTGTAGAACAGTTTGTGTGTGTGTGTGTGTGTGTGTGTGTGTGTGTGTGTGTGTGTGTGTTTTGCACTGAGGGGAATGAAATCAAAGACTTGCCCATGACTTTTACAGTGTTATTTACAGGCAATGGCTCAAAAGGAAGATATGGAAGAAAGAATCACAACCTTGGAGAAACGTTACCTCAGTGCTCAGAGAGAATCTACCTCTATTCATGACATGAATGATAAGCTAGAAAATGAATTGGCAAACAAGGAAGCCATCTTGCGACAGGTTCAGTACCACTGTTTTGGATTTCCTTTTTCTATGTGTGTGTTCCCAACATTTTCAAAAAGCATAGAATAAAATAGGTTTTGTTTTAGCAGATTATGTTTTAAAACTTAGAATAGTATTAATGAAGCAATTTTTATTTTATAGTTTATTTTTAACAAAACTAGAAATCACTCATATGAAAACAATAATGCTGCAAATACTGGCTTTTGATCTTGAGGTGAAGTAGAAGCTAAGGAGTTTGTTTGCAATTACTTCATTAATTCTAGCCTCCACCTTCTGATTAGCTGTAATTATTCTACTGCATACTCTGAGAACAAAAGACAAGACTATGTCTCAAGGTCACACACATCATAAATGTCAGTGCTGGAAGGCCTACCTAGTGGAAGACCCACTGCAAAAGAAAGAGCATCAGTCTATAAAACAACCGTGGCTTTCTCCCTGCTTCTGAAAATGAAGTTTTAATGGAATATACACACCTAATAATTTAAACATTGTTTGCGGTTGTTCTCATGTTACATCAGCATACTAGAGGAACTGAACCAGAGATTATGATACACAATCCTAAAATACTATTTGTCCAATACAGAAGAGTTGTTTGTCTAATCTCTAGAGCGTGGCCTCCTGTGTACTCTACTCCTTAGCTTACACCAGTCTAAAACTATGGTTTTAAATAGGTTTTTTTTGTTCTAATGGTATTATGGAGCATTAATACTGAGCTATATTCCATTTGTCCAAGTGCTTTCTCATTAGAAATTTCTTTACTGTTTGCTGCCAATGGTAAAATTATTACTATTTTATTGTATTGAATTTCAGTAATTAAAATTGACAAATAAATCATGAAATCATGACAACAGTCATCACCTAGCGTAGTTAAGTATGGTAATAACTGATTTCAAATATAGAGAAATTGTCAAGTTCCAAGTCCATATGACTCCTTCTAGCTAACCTAACTCTTGTCTGTTTAAATGGTGCCCTCATCACCCCTGTTTCAGATGGAAGAAAAGAACAGGCAATTACAAGAGCGTTTAGAACTGGCTGAGCAGAGGCTACAGCAGACCATGAGAAAGGCCGAAACTCTGCCGGAAGTGGAGGCTGAACTGGCTCAGAGAATTGCAGCCCTAACAAAGGTACTGCAGCAAACACACGCGCTCAGCCTCGATGTGTTTGCAAAAATAACCGACTAGCAAAGTGGGATCAGTAATAACTCTCTTCAAGCTATGTGAACCTTATAATAGTCAGCTCTTTCTTTTCTTTGTTCATCATCACTTTGTTTCTTTGTGGCATATATCTTTCTTACGGTGAATTGAACAATTGTTACATGAGTGTGACAACTTTCTTCTCTATTTAAACTTTAACAAGGAAAGCAAAATTTCACATCGTTGCTATAGTAAATTTTTGATGGTAGTTTCTGCACATAATAACTATGTAATTTAAATTGTAAAACTATGTTTATTAAATACTACAATTTAACCTGCTTTGTATGAGTGGTTTGCTGTTGGAACAATAAAATATATTAACTGTTGAATAAGGTTATATTGTAATATGGTGAACACTGAAGGAAGTCTAAAAGTTACAGATAAAAGTCATTAAGTTATATGAAACTACTTTTATAATTGTGTTTTCTTCTGAAAAAAATGAAATTGGGTATAATGTATTGTATCGTTGTTGCATAGTATGTATTCTACGTTCTAAAAGTGTTCTATATTATATATCATAAAGCCATTCTAATAGAAACATTTTAATTCTAATAGACCAATAGAAATCACATCCATTTCACCCAGAAAGTCCTGGTTTTGTCACTAGATCATGTTTTACTTTTATGTCAGTTGAAAGGTACACACATATTCTGAACATTCATAAAAACATTGCAGTTCTCTAAGTGGTCTAGGCTACACAAAGAATAGGTACTCAAAACATGTGAAGTTGTACACTTTAATAATAGACCATTCAAAACTGGTGCAGGAAGTTGGTGCAGTGTTTGAGAAAGGGACACAGTCTCACTATCTTTGCGGGAAAAGCAAAGAATAAGGTGAAGTGTTTGACAGTGTTCTTGTGTGTTAAGATGAAATATTCACATGAGAGAGCAAAAATTGGACAAAGATGAGCAGGACTGGAGATCATCAAATTACCTGGTGAATTTTTGAGTATTAGGATATTACCTGATGAAACATTAGTCTGTTAGGGAAAGGTTATTAAATTTAAATCCTTCTATATTCATAGACTACACCAGTAAATAACACCTGGACTTTAGAAAATATAGAGACTCAAAATATAGCATATATATTATGTAGCTTCAAGATATTTCCGAAATTATATAAGGCTATCCAAGCATACCAAAAGTTTTATATTTTCTTTTGTAAAGACATATTTTAAATTGCTATAATATAGATTAAGACACACACATGGTTGTTTTGTTTTAATCTAAAATATAACTTGCCTAAAAAGTTGCCTTGTTAAATTTTGCTATTGTGTAATTCAATAAGGAATATCTGGTAAGACTTTGGATAGAGTAGCCATCAGTATTTATTTCACTGAACAAAATATAAAAATTTAAAACATTTTCTAAAGAAATACACCTTAAAATTCATTAAATCATTATCCAAAATGTAAATATAATTTAAAATATAGCTATTGACTTACATAACTTTAAATTAAATAGTCTTAAATAATTATTTTATGATACAACCCCCCCCAAATTTTCTCTTTTATTACTACCATCTGGTAATGCTAAATACCTTTGTTAAGACATAGTACATAATATAGATAGGAATTAATTACCATGGTGGATAATCTTCCTTTTTATCCATACTCTGATTATTCAATATTTTAGAAAACCTTAACTTTCTTCAAAATTCTTCTAAAAGTGCATAATTTATTCATTGACTCCTATCACTTTTGCTTTTAGCAGCTTCTAGAATGACAGCATATTTCAGGTGTATATGACGGTTTTTATATTATGGACACAGTTTTATTTTGTTATCTCTTTCGCGTATACCATGTCTATAACTTGAGTATGACAGTTCCTCTGAGCAATCTCACATCAACCATCTTGCACTCATCCATGTATTTACTCGATACCCTCAGAGATGATATAATTAATTTGTTTTATTTTGTTCAATTTAAATTCGCTGTCAGTATACGATTATTTATGATCATCAGTGGCCTTTTATCTACTCCTCATGAAACTTTCTACTATTCTAAATGCAAATAGCTTGGTTTATGTCTCAGAATTTTCCTCTTGCGTTTTTAAATGATATTCCACAAATCAAGTATTTAAACTAATCAAGTATTTAATTTGACATATGCATATATACACGTGTGTTTTATTTTTACCAATCTCTACCATAACTTTCTCTTCAAGATTTTCTTGTACAGCCTTTTTTTTTCATCATTCAGATTTTATATTCATATTCTTCTCACAAGGATTTCTTTCATTATTTGTCTCAAGCCTTAACTCATTTGAAATTTCCCTATATCATATTAAAGAGAATAGCCAAAATAAACTCTTCAAGGACAAATAAAAGCAGACTGATCCTACAGCACTGCAATTGTGCCAGCCGCTACAACTGTGCTATCCCCAAGTCTAAAGGCAATAAATTTTGGTACTCTTGGCCAAAATCTCTTCCCTGTATTGCTTAGAGATGATAGCTGAATTTATTCTGACTGTTTTTTTAATCATCTAGTTAGAGAGATATGCAAAGTAGGCAAAGCTCATGTAAAACTTTTAGAAAGAATTCTCAATTAATGCCCATAAATAAAAACTAAATTTGATGGTTATATATAATTAAGAATCAAAGTCCATTCTATACTTCCAGTGTTATGATTTGTTATATTTATTTCTTTAATTAAAATCCATATATCCTCAAGTAGGACATAACTCATCTGGAATTTTATGAGGTATTTCATTAGTTTTAGTACTAATAAAAGTTTCAGTAATAACATAATTTAGAAATGACAATTCTTGTTTTTGTGTATGAAGTGAATTTTCTCAAAGTTTTCTCATTTTCTTCCGTGAAGGAAGAAACGTGATAAGGTTTGAAGATGTAAAAATAATACTTTTATAAAGAGAGACTTCTAGAAGATCAAATATCTGTATCACTCTTCTTAATCAGTCACTTATTGAATTTAATAACTTAAATTACTATAAAATACAAAGGTTTATTTACGAATTTAAGATACACAATTTCAACAACCTCTTTTCTGTATTTCTTTTCTTAATAGGACTTGCAAGTTTTAAATGGTATAAAAACAGAGGAGTGGAGAGATTGCTTATGGAAAACCTGAGATCAGTTCCCAGCACCCATGATGGGTGGCTCTCACTGTCACCTGTAATTCCAGTTCTATTGACTGGCCAACCTCTTCCTGCCTTCCGAGGCACTGTAGTCGCATACACTAAGGCACACATAGAAGCACCCATACAAATATAACTAATTAGACTTAAAACCTATGAATTAAAATTTAAATAATAAAACCTTGTTTGCTTGCATTTGAGGATCATGGTAGCTTTTACTGCTGCTTCTATTTGGAAACTTGTGTAAGACCCTTGGGAGCAAATTGTGATAATCTATGTTTATAAAATAAATGCACAAGATAGAAAATCTAAATGATGAGCTATAATTTACACAAATGTTAAATGTTACTCCTTAAAGTAAGTTAGAATTTATTGTGTAATGTATCATAACTGCAAATTAACTGGTTACTATTCTTTTTAATTTAATGCATGATATGTTTACATAAAGTCCTATATTAGTTTAAAATAAGGTTCTCTGTTTCCAAATGAGACAATAATATGTCAAAGGATATGTTCTAGAGTTAAAATTGTGTTACTGATATAAGATTGTTTTGGTGTTGTAATTATTTAACTTGCAATAATAATTAAAATGTTGACGTAATGCTAGAAGTACTTTATGCATAACATACTAATACAATTCAGCAATCAGCAGCGTCCCATGTATTAACACTCTACACCTGTGGTGTCCTAACAGCAAGATATGTAACTAGCCTCAGCACTTAGGCAATCACTAGCTCACGGAGGCTCTGTGCTTCCATTTACTCTATGGTATTATTCTGTTTTGTTGTAACAAATTAGTGCAGACATTCTTTTGATGTGGTCCTTCATATCATTTTTGAGCATTCACAAAGATTTTTGTCCTTATGACATTATTATTGCCTGATAAGTTGAGAACTTTTAATCGTTTTCATTTAAATATTTAAATTACACTGCTGGATAAGGCCATTGTGTCCTGGAGTCATTTTTTCATGGACCACTCACTGTGGCCAAGGAAGCTCAACCCTGTTTGAGTTTATTCATAATAACGTATCCTGGGCCTTAGTCTTACTTCTGATTTCTACATTTGAGGCCTTCTATTATGTCCAAATATGATACCCCAAGTCATAGCCAAGAGAATTCTCCTTGAGATGCAAGGTTTACGTCATATTTTTTCTTATTAATGAGAAAAAAAACAAAAGATAAAGATGTTTCAGCATCTATCAGAGACATTCTAGTGTTTGGTTTCTCATAATTCCAGTTATTACATGTCATTTCCAGAGTTGCTTTAACTCACCTTGTAAAAGTCGCTCATTGCCAGCTGTCACTAACCTTTCATACCTCAGGTCCACAGCTTTTTATTTGAGCATATCATTGTCTTCCATGTGTAACCATCCATGGCATTATCATCACTTGATATCAGAATAGTTCCTTCTACATGAAATTTTGTCTATTAAAGTATTGAATCTGTTGTCACCTTTATTTTAAGCTTTCTGTACTATGTTCTGTTTGGTGTCAGTGTCTTTAGTTCTGATTTTTTCAACTTTGTCCCTCTCCTTTTCCTTGACCTGTTAGTCTGACCCAACCTCCTCTACCTCATCCGATGATTATCAATATGTTATGGAAGCTAAACTCCAAGAAATGATCTCCATACGTAGGAAGGTAGTCCTACTGGACTTTACTTTCTATCGCTAAATAGAATCCATCTAAGTTTTTTTTTCTTTTCATTTATAAAAATTACTTTACTTTTCTTTATTGATAATCGACCATCTGTGCAGTTCAGTGCTTCAGGAGCTTAAGATTGGACAATGGCAGGTTTGTGTTCAAACCATGCACCGTCTGCATGTCACATTTGGCTGATTTCACTGCTCATAAACAACTTGAGTGTTTTGCTGATGCTTGAATGGAACAGGCCTTTGTAGCTGACACATTTCAAGCAATGCTGTTCAGCTGCCTGTTTAAAGAAAGTTTATTTTCGGAAACTATGTTTGCGGTTGGTAGTAGCTTGCTTTACATTTTATTTCAGTTTACTTAGAAGGGAGGAATGAACTCATCTTACATCCGAGGTCCACTTTCTGTATTTCTTAACAGGCTGAAGAAAGGCATGGAAATATTGAAGAACGTATGAGACACCTCGAGGGTCAACTGGAAGAGAAGAATCAGGAACTTCAAAGAGTATGTATGAAGCTTTTCCTTCTCTCCTTAGATTTTGAAACCACAAGCTGCACACTGGAGGAAATATTTTTAATTAGAATATGTGTTCAAAAACCATGGAGCTAGAAAATATTTACTTTGAGTGATGTTACCCAGACACAGAAAGACAATTATTACTCACTCATAAGAGGTTTGTATACATAAAGCAAAGAAAACCAGCTCACAAATCACAATCCCAGAGAACCTAGATAACAATGAGAATCCTAAGGAAGCCATACATGGATCTAATCGATGTGGGAAGTAGAAAAAGGCAAGATCTCCTGAGTAAATTGGGAGCAAGGGGACCTTGGGAGAAGGTTGAAGGGGTGGAAAGAGAAAGGGAGGGAGGTGAAGAAAAATGTAGAGCTCAATAAAAATCAATAAAAATATTCTGAAGTTATGTTCTGAGCATTTGAAAAAAATAGTTTCTTCAAATTTAATCAAAACCATGCTTAGAATTATATTCAGTTCAAAACCAGCAAAACCATAAAATTAACCTTGAACAGCAGTGAGTGTTTTCTTTTTTATACATGTTTTGCTCTTTTTCTGAAATATAAGGCTAGGCAAAGAGAGAAAATGAATGAAGAACATAATAAAAGGTTATCTGATACCGTGGACAGGCTTCTGACAGAATCCAATGAGCGCCTGCAACTGCACTTGAAGGAAAGAATGGCCGCGTTGGAAGAAAAGGTATGGTTACAGACAGGGCGAGAAGCACATGCATGCTTACCCCTATTGTCTACTTTGTGATGTTTTTCTATCCTACGGTAATCATGGTTTTTGTCCGGCATTCAGCTGACTTTCCTTAGCATAAAATGAGTCGATATAGTTTTAGGAAGTAAGCCAAAAATTTGAATAAAATATTATAACATCATGTTTTGAATAAATAACTATATGACACATGATAAATATTAGATATTAGTATGTTTGTTAGAACCAAATATATTATAATATGCTGTGATTTGTGATAAAAAATGTTTCATTTATCTTGTCACTATTTGTAAAAGCATACTAGGAAGACAAAGACAAATACTGAGCATGGGTCTACTTGAAACTGTTGAGTGTTTAATCTGCTAATTACCTGGACTGAAAGTCAATGCATGGGAGGCTATGTCAGTAAGAGGATTACTGCTCTTGGCAGAATAGCGTTTAGGAACCCCTAATCCCGACTACATCGGTTTCAAGAAACCTGTTTTTATGTTCAGCCTGAAACTTGATACACAATCATGCCTGTCACTGGATAACTGGAAAATATCACACCAACCAAATGTTGAGCAGGTGGCCAAACCCTGACCTACACCAGAGGGTAATCACCAAAACCTAAGGAAGACAAATTATTTCAAGAATCTCAATAGAATTTCAGTTACTATCTTCTTCAAGCATTTTACATTGACATCTAATCAGGAAACGAACATGTTTTAACAAAATGTTAGCAAATTTTGATTTATTGACACATTAAAAAGTAAAAGCATGTTTCTAAAAGTTGACCTGGTAATCACCACTTACCATTTGAAGGATAGCTTAATTATTTCCCATGAAAAACAGTCTGAGAAGCTCAGAGGGTAACATTTAGGCTGTTTAGGCTTCACTGGAAGCCAAGTGAAGCAAATTAGTATTTCTTATATAAATAATTTATTTTGCAAAGTGTTGAATGTCACTTTTAAAGATTTCAATGAAACCAAGTTTCCATAGAAACCAGGAAATAGATTTACTAAGGGAGGAATCATAAGAGGTTCTGGAGTGCTCAAGTATGCATATACAGATTTAAATATATTCAGCATATTGCTTCTTTCTTTTTTCTTTTCCATAGAATGTTTTGATTCAAGAATCAGAGACCTTCAGAAAAAATCTTGAAGAATCTTTACATGATAAGGTATTTGGAAACATTTTGCCAGTTATCTTATTCACATTGATGAATACATCATAAAGTAAATGCGATGAAAATAATTTTTGGTTATACTCTTAAATTATTTTAACTTTGTATGCTTATAGCAGAGCATAAATTTATATAGAAATTGGACAATTTTTGGCATTGAACCCACTGAAAGCCAGTATTCTGCAAACTCAACTAGTGTTAATTAAAAATCGCCATTAATCACTATCTCAACCTTTACATAAATAACTTATATAAATAAAATAAAAATATATTCACTAGGTTTTGTGTAGTCTGAGAAATTATTTCTGAAAAAAACAATGTGTCTATTATATAGCAAAATGGTGTCATTAAATACTTCTAGCATCGTCTTTCTTCTAAGGCAATTGAAAATCTAGTGGAAGAAGCTTCTTACCTTACAAACAGGGATTCAGAATAGCAGAAACAAAGGACAAATAGGGTAGGGTGAGCACAGTTAGTAAAGATCACAGTACACTGATGATATAAAAAAACAACTTTGGGGATGCAGGATGCAACTAAAAAAATTAGGCAATGGCACAGAGCTACAGACACAGCCTGAGTATAGGTACTTGTTAGTTTTGAAGGCTATGCATAAGTGTGATACTTTAAAATAGGAGAGGGGTTTGGTGAGAACCAAGCATTTATATTGTAGGAGATGTGACTTAAGAGGCTGACAAAATATGGACTGTAAATTTCTTAAAATTTGAGATACTAATACTAGTAATATGTAGCATCCTACTTGATTTGTCTTGTTTCCTTAAATTGTCATTTAAAATACCAGCTTAATATACATCCTCTAGTTGTGCATTGGAAACACACACAAAAAGGAAGAGTGAAAGATAAGGGGAAAAGGGACCAAAGAATAAAGGAGAGAGTAACAAGTAGAAAGAAGGTAAAAGATAGGCAGGAAGAAATGAATTAAAGGTTTATCATATGTACAATAATACATAAGATGTGTAAAATATGACAGTAATGGGATACTTAACAATTTCATGGGATGTTATTAGTATAGTCTGTGATAATTTGAAGATAATAGTCATTCAGTTACAGAGTTGGAATGTCTATGCTCTTAGGATATGCTGTTTAATTCAGCATTATAGCAGATGTAGCTAAAGGATGGCGTGGAATTATTTCTGAATGACTAGCAAAGTCTACAGAAAAAAAGGCTTTATTTTAGTAAGCTCTTAAAGGGCAGTGGTGGTCCAGGGGAGTTTGGACTTTATGGACAGCACAGAGGAGCCAAGGATGGGTGACTAGATGAATCATCAGAATTTTGTTTGAAGATGCACATGTGCTGTGAACTAGTTCTGACCAGATTGTGATTTTTGGACTTGATCTTGTTATGCAACGTGAAGTTATTTAAAGTTCCATGGGTTCCTGGCAAGATCCTCAAAACCTACTCCCCCAACACCTACTCCAGCCTGTAGCTGTAGCAATCTGCCCAAGCAACCAACATTCCAAGTCATATTATGCATTATATCCTTGCTAATGCCAATCTCCAGAAAAGGTATTCCTAGAACAAACTTCACTTTGGGACTGTCTTTCTGTACAGCTAAGCAAACTCACTGAACTTAGTACATGTATAATTGTTCAAATGTACATTCAAGCACCACTACCAGGTAACCAGGCCAACATTACCAGCAATATTCTGGGTAAATCACATGTAACCTCATTTCCCCCATTACTCAAGTTACAAAATCAAACTTGAAACAATGGCAAACTCTTGTGTTTATATAATTTTCCTCTCTCAAACCAGTAGGTAAATTCTGTTACCTCTATTTAAAATATGATAAAAAGCTATCCACTTTGTCCCAGTAACATTCATATCTATCCCATGATTCTGTTTATAATCTTGGAGAGCTCTAGACAGTTGTATTTCTTCCCTGCCTCCAAAATTCACGTGATCCTTTATTCAGAGTCTATGCAGGGATGGTGCAGAGATGCCTCTCTGCTCAGATTTTCCACTTTGGTTTGCTTTCCTTCTCACAGTAATAAGCCAGAGAGATTTAAGAAGCATTAGTGCTTTTCCCTTCATTCTGCGGTAATTTTACTTAATCTACACCCTACCTATATTTTGCTTTGATGTCTCTAAACCACCAACCCGGGGGTTATATCCTGTCTCTCCAAATATACTTTCATCTACAGTGTTCTTACTTAATATGTTCTTTTATTTTAATCAGGACATCATTCAAATGTCATGTTATATATCATATTTTAATAATTCTTCTATTATCTTTCTAACAATGTAATTTACCTGTGCATTTTACTTATAAGTTGTCTTTTTTATTAATGTACATTTAGAAAAAAGCAACACAATTCTTTTATACTCAGTGTTGAGAAAAGAAACTCAATGAATATTTTTCTGAAAATAATGAAGTTGAAGAAGAAATTATTTCAAGCAAATTATTTATTTGAATATCATACATTTTGAAGTCATGCTCTATCATAAGAGGTGTGCCAAGAATATAGATGTAATAAATAATTTACAAATTTGTCAAAAGAATTTTGGATAATTAGTTCTGAGATCCCTAACATGTAATGGAAATGTCACAGAGGCTATAATATCATAGTGTTAATTTTCTATTGCTGTAAAGAGACATCATGCCTAAGTCAACCCATAAAAGACAGAGCTTGTTAGGGCTTCCAACTAGAGGGTGAGTCTATGACTATCATAGCAAACTGAATAGAAGCAAGCACAGGCATGACATTAGAGCAGTGCCTGAGAGTTCAAATCTGATCCACAAATAAGAAAAGAACAGACAAATACATGGGATATTGTGGGTTTTGATACCACAGAACCCATCCCCAATGACATAACATCTTCCGAAATGCTACACCTCCTAACTCTTCCCTGACAGTTCTACAAACTGGGAAGTAAGTATTCAAATATATGAACCTATGGGGATCATTTTCATCAAAACCAGTCATTGTATGGTGAAAAAAGGAATATGAATCAAATAAAATGAAAGAGTCGGCTAGTGAGAAACTGTCGAAACTAAGGACTCACTAACACACATATCAGAATCAAGTATTAAAGCATTATGAAATAATTTCATAAGCACTTAGCTAATAGCTGTGTGACAACCCAGTCTCCACTGAGGTATTTAATACTAGTCTGAAAAAAATTATAGACAAACAAAATCAAACCTGTAGTTAGGTTATTGACAGCCATTCTTTCATGCTGAGTTTTTCCAATCTTATTTATACTTCATTTATTCATTCATTCACATCTCAAGAAATTTTAAAAGTCAAAAGTTTTGGTTTGCATTTTAAGATGAAATTCTGGCCAGGCGGTGGTGGCGCATGCCTTTAATCCCAGCACTCAGGAGGCAGAGGCAGGAGGATCTCTGTGAGTTCGAGGCCAGCCTGGTCTACAAGAGCTAGTTCCAGGACAGGAACCAAAAAGCTATGGAGAAACCTGTCTAGAAAAAAAAAATATTAAAAAAATAAGATGAAATTCTGCTTCCTTAGATCCTTTTTCTTTACTGGTGTGCCCTTCAACCTTGATGAAAAACATGAAAAAGTTTTCTTTTTATTTGTCAGGGTTTTCTAGTGGAATATAACTGATAAAATGAATATATATTATATATATATATATGTATATATCCCATATATATACACATATATATGTATATATATGGAAAGGGAATTTATTAGATAGGTTTTAAAGTCTATGGTCCACGTATTTTCACAGTGTATGTCAGCCTATCAATGGAAGGTTCAGGAATCTAAGAGGTTTTCAGTCCACAAAGTTGAAAGTCTCAGTTGGTCTTCAGTACACACCAAATTCCTGAAGAAGTAGGCTCTCATGCCAGTGAAGGAACAGACTTGCCAGAGAGAGTGAGAGACAGCCTGCAAAGAGCAAGCCTACCTCTTAAATGTCCTTTAATTAGGCTGCTGTGAGAAGAGGTGGCCCAGATTAAAGATATAGCTTGCCGCCTCAAAAAATCTGGATTAAAAGTATATCTTCCCAACAGAAATGAATTCACTAAAGAACAACAACAATAAAATAATACTTCTTCAGAGGCGAACCCAGCCCTTGGGTTTTCGTTAATTCCAGATGTAGTCAAGTGACAACCTAAAGGGTAAATATCACACTCACTATATGTAGAGAACTTTTATTTAATTTGAAAGAGAATGTGGTTTGTGTTTTGCATTTGAAGTAACCTATCTTATTAATGATTATTATAATCTCACAAATTTGTAAAAATTTAGGATTAGTAGGTACCAGGGAATAGAGGGGATTATGTTGACTTCTGTTATTGGTATATTCATTATGAAAGGTAAACACAAGTATAGTTTCTGATTATATCCTGTGTACTTTAATAAATTATAATAATTTTCCCTTTTAAATATTTATTTATTTATTTTTATTTATTAAAAATTTCCACCTCCTCCCCTTCTCCCAATTCCCTCCCACTCCCCCCACTCCCCCTTCCCCTCCCTCTCCAGTCCTAAGAGCAGTCAGGGTTCCCTGCCCTGTGGGAAGTCCAAGGTCCTCTCCCCTTCATCCATGTCTAGGAAGGTGAGCATCCAAACAGACTAGACTCCCACAAGGTCAGTCCATGCAGTAGAATCAAAATTTATTTACACAATAATTTATCACAGTTGAATGCTGATACTTTGGATGTGACCTTCACGTGAGTAACTGCTTTTTGATTTTTAGGAACGGTTAGCAGAGGAAATTGAGAAGTTAAGATCTGAACTTGACCAAATGAAAATGAGAACTGGCTCGCTAATTGAACCCACTATATCAAGGTAATACTAAGTTAAATGTTTATTTGTGGTTTAGCCAGCATCAAATAAATGTTCTCACATTTTCCTTCAATCTCAAGTAACATAAGAGTCTCATATTTCTCAGTAGACATTGTCATGTTTCATCTATAAAATTAGTTTCCAAATTCAGAGATAATTTCTAATTTGTAAACCATCTTTGAAGACATGTGTTCAAAATATAACTGAAAAAATCTGTGTTCTCTGTACAAGTATGTAGCTATAAGTGCATAAAGAATTCTTAATTAAAAATAAGAGCATGTAGAGTAATTGTACTCTGTTCCAAGAGGAGATATGAACATTTTTTGTTTTCATTAAACTATTTTTTTCCTTTCATTGAAAATGTGTTTTTCTCACATAAAATATCCCCGTTTTGTTATGGTCCCCCTCTTTTGACTCCTCCCAGTTCCTCTAAACTCCTATCTGAATCCACCCCCTCTCTTTTTCTAATTAGAAAATAAAAGGACCTCTAAGAGTTAAAAAATATATAATAAAATTTAATAATTTAAATCTAAAATTAACACATCAGAATAGGGCAAAGCAAAAAAGAATGAAACCTAAGAAAAGGTACAAGAAATATAAATAGACATACAGAATTACCATTTATTCACAAAGTCAGGACTCCTATAAAACACTAGACTGGAAGCAATAATATATAAGGACCAGTGCAGGCCCCATGCATGCTAATTTAGTCTTTCTGAATTCTTTTATGTATCAATTCTGAAGATATATGTATGCATGTACATATTCATATTTATGTATATGAAGATTCTACTGTATTATATTTTCATACTATTCAGCAAGTGGCTCTTAATTACAGCTGTCTCTCACCATATTCCTTTCCTCACCCCCATCTTTCCTATCCCTCCTCTCTTGATCTAGTATGTCCTTCCCATCCATCCATAACTATCTATTGTATTTCCCTTTCCTATGGAGATATATCTGTGCCCTTAGTCCCTTACTCTATACCTATCCTTTGTGGAACTATGGACTATAGCTTAGTTATCATTGCCTTATAAGCTATTATCCACATTTAAATGAATACATAGAATGTTTGACTTTCTGGACCTCGTTTACCTCACTCAGGATGACTTTTTTTTCAAGTTTTATCCTTTCACCTGGAAGTTTCATATTTTTTAATCAGCTTAGTAATGTTCCATTGTGTGAATGCATCACATTTTCTTTTAATCAATTGAAAATTAATATGGGAACTGGAATTACATATGAACAAGAACCATTTAGTAGAGTTTAGCCATGCTCACTGTTCTGTCGTACTATTATTAAAGAAAGAAGACATGGAATAATCAGTTAGTGGGTAGATAAATATACATGATGATAGATAACTACATTTGACAATAATTTATGTGCAATTTAGTTGTTTCCCTATACATATTAAGAGACAATAAAATTTTTGTGAATCTGTTCTCTTTGGATGGATACGTTGTTCAGCCTAGATAGGTAGGGGGAGGCCCTCGAACCTTCCACAAAGCAATGTGCCTTACCCTCTTAGAGGATTGGGTAGGGGTGGGATGTTTATTTGCCAGACAGGGATGAACTAGGGCTCCAGTGGTGGTGAAAATAGATGTTGTTGTGAGGAAACAGTTAAATGCTACCTTGTAGACTGTTACAACCATGAAATCCCAAAAAGAAAAAAATTAACTAGAATAGCATGTGGCAATTAGACATTTAATTTGAAACTGCAAGAATGCTAGACATATAAACATCTTAAGAGGGCATTTCAGCAGAAATAATATGAGGTTCAGGGGCACAGAAATTAAATAAAGTATAAGGTATTGAAGAACTTTCATGTCAGGTAAGCGGGATGGAGAAGGATGGTAAAGAGTAAATAGTTACTGTGAATCTATAAAGTAGGAAGTCCCAAATTATAGAGGCCTCGATGCCACAGCAAGGTGTTGTATGCCGAATATTGGTAACATGAGTTTTACTTTGTTCCATAACTTTAAAATGATACAGAATTCATAGGAAACAAAACAAGAATGCCGTTTTCAAGAATGACAAGTTGTAATGTTGGACACTCCACTGTGATGCCAAACATTTACCTGAGCAGTCAAGAGTGATACAGATTCAGGATAATATAATGTAGGTTCCTTGAAGACTATAATTCTCTCCTTTCACTCACTCATTGGTACACTAGAATTAGTAAAGTGTTCACAGTCTAGAGGCATATCTTTCTGGATACATAATGGTGACGAAATTTATTTTATTTTATTTTTTTAATTTTTTTTTATTGCGAAAAGAAGAAAAAAAAACATAAACAAAAAAACAAGTTTCCACCACCTCCCAGCCTCCCATTTCCCTTCCCCTCCTCCCACCCTTCTCCCCCTCCTCCCACCCTTCTCCCCCTCCCCCCACTCCTCTCCCCCCCTCCCTCTCCAGTCCACAGAGCAGTCCGGGTTCCCTGCCCTGTGGAAAGTCCTAGGTCCTCCCCCCTCCGTCCATATCTAGGAAGGTGAACATCCAAACTGGCTAGGCTCCCACAAAGCCAGCACATTAAGTAGGATCAAAACCCCCTGCCATTGTCCTTGGTGTCTCATCAGCCCTCATTGTTCGCCATGTTCAGAGAGTCCGGTTTTATCCCATGCTTTTTCGGTCACAGTCCAGCTGGCCTTGGTGAGCTCCCCGTAGATCAGCTCCACTGTCTCAGTGGGTGGATGCACGCCTCGTGGTCCCGAATTCTTTGCTCATGTTCTCCCTCCTTCTGCTCCTCCTTGGGACCTTGGGAGCTCAGTCCAGTGCTCCTGTGTGGGTCTCTGTCTCTATCTCTATCCATCACCAGATGAAGATTCTATGATGATATGCAAGATATTCGTCAGTATTGCTCTAGGATAGGGTCATTTCAGGTTCCCAATCCTCAGCTGCCCAAGGAACTAACTGGGAACCTCATCTTGGGCACTAGGGAGCCCCTCTAGGGTCAAGTCTCTTGCCCACCCTAAACTGGCTCCCTTAACTAAGAATTGTGGTTCCGTGCTCCCCTATCCACCTTTCCTTTATCCCAATTCTCCTGTTTCCCAGGTCCCCTCTCCTTCCCTTCTACCTTTTCTCTCCCCATCTCCCTTTACCCCCATCCCACCCCATCCCCAAGATCCCATTTTCTCCCCGGAAATTTGGTCTACTTCCCTTAGCCAAGAGGACAACTATATGTTTTTCCTTGGTTTCACCTTCTTACTTAGCTTCTTTAGGTTCACCTCTTGTAGACTCCGTGGTCCTTATTTATGGCTAGAAACCAATTATGAGTGAGTACATCCCATATTCATCTTTTTTGGGTCTGGGACACCTCACTCAGGATAGTGTTTTCTATTTCCATCCATTTGCATGCAAAATTCGAGAAGTCATTGTTTTTTACCGCAGCGTAGTACTCTAGCGTGTATATATTCCATACTTTCTTCATCCATTCTTCCATTGAAGGGCATCTAGGTTGTTTCCAGGTTCTGGCTATTACAAATAATACTGCTATGAACATAGTTGAACAAATGCTTTTGTCATTTGATAAAGCATCTCTTGGGTATATTCCCAAGAGTGGTATTGCTGGGTCCAGGGGTAAGTTGATCCCGAATTTCCTGAGAAACCGAAACACTGACTTCCACAGTGGTTGCACAAGATTGCATTCCCACCAGCAATGGATGAGGGTACCCGTTCCTCCACAGCCTCTCCAGCAAAGGTTATCCTTGGTGTTTTTGACTTTAGCCATTCTGACAGGTGATGGTGACTAAATTTAATCTTTTTGTTCATAAAATAAAATGTCTGTCCAAAAGACTAAGTTTAAGAGTTATATCATTTCTGATTATGACTTGGTTAGTTTATTTTTATATATCACCCATTCATTATTAGATAAGTCCATGTTCATTGCTATAAAAATATTAAGTGTCAGCTATTTGAAGAGGATTCCTTGTTTCATTTGATCTAATTAATCATCTGGTAAAACAAGGTCTTCCTTAAGTTGGGTTATCATCATCCACTAAGGCAAACAGCTGGAATACATCTAAGCTTTTTAAATCTTGACCAATATAAAATAAAAGTTTATCACTAATCTCAAAGTGAATAAAGAAAGGTGTTATCATCAATCAGTAGAAGCACAAAGTTGTAGAACAAGTACCCAGTGATGACAGATATTTGATTTCATTTTATAGGACAGGATGAGTTGCTTTTGTCATCAGCATCACTATTATTGGAGCAAATTGAATTTGCTGTAAATCTTTATACAGACAATGTGCCTGACTATGTTGTGGTTACAGTGTAGTTTATTATCATGTTTATTGAAAACCAATGTAGTGATATTTTTTTTCAATTGCAATTTTCCACCTATTTCATCTCTAAGCAAATTGCAGCATCAAGTGTGATTACCAAGATTTGTCTTCATCTTGTAACAATGATTTACCCAAAGCTTAAATCCTAGCTATTTACCAAAATTAGATTATTAACTGTAAAGCAAGCATTTTTCTGTTTCTCTAAATTGGACAACAAAACACTGCAGGACAGAAAATGTTAGTAAATTTCTCTATAATTTTTAAAACTTAAAATTACTGAACTCATAAGTTCAGACATTTTCAGTAAACACAGCATGAATCATTTAAAAATACAGCAATAAATGGTAGATATTAAGATACAAATGAAAAAACATACAGAATGTCTAGAATTTAAATCAATGGATCTTAACTATTAATGTTAACATGTTTCATTGTAGTACAACATTGAAGACCACATGTACAACAAGGTTATAAGTGTAGTCTAAAATGAGAAAATGTACCACACCTTCAAGAATGAAAATCCACCCTATCATATGACACACATGTCCAAGAGCATAGCAAGAATAGCACTGTTCACTCTGGAGGTTCATTTGCTTGAGAGATTCTGCCTTAATGACAATTTAGAAGCAGGTAGTAGCAAATTTAATTTGTGAGACTCAGTATATTTTTTTGTTTTGTTTTGTTTTCCAGAACGCATCTAGACACCTCAGCTGAGTTGCGGTATTCAGTTGGGTCCCTCGTGGATAGCCAGTCTGATTACAGGACTACGAAAGTAATCCGGAGACCCAGGAGAGGCCGTATGGGTGTGCGAAGAGATGAGCCGAAGGTGATTTTTTGCTGGCATTAGTCATTTTAGCTACATATACATGATACTAGTCTAGATAAGTTTCTACTTGAAGAGACTCCCAAATTCCAGCATTATTTTATGTTAGTTTTGAGGATGGAAAATGTCATATTTTAAAATTAACTAGTGTAAAAACATTTAATAAGTACAAGAGCTTTCCACATATTTATTTGTCATTATTAATAATGTGCAGTTTTTATCCTTATTTCAGGAATTTTAAGGTTTAGGCAAAGAAAGATTAAGTGTTCCACAGTACAGAGCTAGCACACTAATTGATTCAAAATTGGAGATAGATGTAGATAATGAGAGATACCATGTTTTAATCATTATATTACATTGCCAAGCAAATGGACATTTGGTAGGCTTAGATTCTTGAGTACTGACATTTATATTTTAACTAAACTAAAGAAAAACTTTGTTAAAATCACTATTTTAAAACATTTTAAAAAGAGTATCCAGACTTTTAAAAATACCTGTGAAGTCTGTGCTGCATGACAATGATCCGTACCCTGTCATTTGTATTTTAAATAATTGCTGATTGGCTAAAAGCCAGGAAGTAAGTATGGGGGGGCGGGGAGAGGGAGACCAGGCAGGAAGTAGAGGTGGGCCAATGAGAATTCTGGAAAGAGGGAAGTTTAATTCTGCAGTCATGATCCAGCCACAAAGGAAGCAAGATAGCAAGATGTGACTGTCTCACCATAAAAGGTACCAAGCCATGTGGCTAACACAGACAAGAATTGTGGGCTAATATAAGAGTTAATAAGAAATCTGAGCTACTAGGCCAATCAATTTATGATTAATGTAGACCTCTGTCTGTTTCTTTGGCACTTAACAGCTACAGGGATAGAAACCTCTGTTAACAGTCCCATTCAAGATAAACTCTACTGTAGCCTTTTAATTTTTTTTATTTAATTTTTAAAGGTCTTATATGCATACTATGTTTATATAATGCTCACAACCTCTCTCTGATCCAATTCCTCTCATATCCCCTAAACCTTCTCAAATGTATGACTTCTTTTATTATATTTATACGAATACATATATACAAAACAGCCTGCTGGCGTTCATCATGCCATTATTACAAGAGATCTAGAATACAAGAGTATCTCTTTTATTAAGATAGATCACCCTCATAACAGAACATACATTAAACATATAAACTAAAGATGCTAAGGATAGTATAGAAGAATAATTTTTGATCATTTCAAGTATGAGTACTATATATACACAATTTTCCCTCTCCTTCTGCACCAATCCCAGTGATTCTCAAATTCATGCTCTCTTAAATATTATTAATATGCTCATATACATACATAGTTACAGCTATAACCTGCTGAGTTGTGTGTATATATTTAGGAGAGATCCCCTGGGATTGGATAAATTAGTAGAAGGCTTGTCCCAAGAAAGACTGATTCTTTCTCATCAGCTATTATTTGCATGTAGCTCTCCATCAAGGGGTGGGACTTTGTGGGATCCTCTACCCATGTGGGCATTCCAGCCGGTGCTATCAATGTGTAGATCTTCTTGAGCAAACATGTTTCTGATATTCAGTAGTGTAATAAATTTAAGTCAGTTTTTTTATATAATCAATGCAGCTGCTTATAGAAGTAACACAGCTCCTCTGTATCCAAAGTATATTTTGTTCATGCAACCATTTCTATGTATACAAAATACTGTTTTCTTTTTTTCATTAACAATTTTATTTAATTATTTTGGTTGGTAGATATCATTAATAGTTCACATGTAACATTTGTGGAAAACATGAAAAATATAAACGAACAAATAAAGACAAGATATTCTCAGTTCTTTTCTTCTTACTTTAACAGAAATAAATCCATGTCTTTGGTACCAAACTCATTAGTAACACAAATGTTGCTTTAGATCTTTAATCATTAATTTAATATGCCACAAATTGTAAATTTATCTCCCACATAACTCATTTTGAATGATGTAGCAGTGAAGTTAATTACATAAAGAGCATAAATTTCTAGGGTCACTCTATTGAGATCACAGTTGGCAAAATAATTAATCTACTGGTTACTCAAAACTCTCAGAAGAATACTTATGTTACTTAAAAAGCATAAACCATGCTTGTGTCAAAAGTTTAGAGAGAGTACAAGTGAACATGTAATAGACATAAAATTATGTTGTTTTTCGATATTGGAAGAAATACTTTGTTCAAATCTATCGAGTGAATTTTGAGAGAAAAATTAATATGCAATATGCTACCTGCTAATACTTATGTGCTCATCTTTTCATAAGCAAAGTGTGAGTATGACTACTTGCTATAAGAAATGGCAGGGCTTGAATTTGTGGGGATTGATATTATATTTGGAAATCTGGAGGGGAAATGTTGCAAATGTAACAGCTTAAAAATAATCACTACCTTGAAAGCAAGTTGAATATAAATCATATGGAAATATATAATCCCTTCTCCTTCTAAAATGTTGATTTAAGGGGGAACAGTGGATAAACCCATCTCCTAAGATGTCAGAAAATATTCTATTGGGCGATTAAATTAAAATATTACTACTTGGTCTGCATTTGACTGAGCGTCTGTCAAAGCATACATGCTGGTTTTGATGTTGCTGCGGTGGTTGTCAGTTTTCAGATTTGTTCTTTTAATATGTTCCCTTACCATTCAGGTGAAATCTCTTGGGGATCACGAATGGAACAGAACTCAGCAAATTGGAGTCCTAGGCAGCCACCCATTTGAAAGCGACACTGAAATGTCCGATATCGATGATGATGACAGAGAAACAATTTTTAGCTCAATGGATCTTCTCTCTCCAAGTGGTCATTCCGATGCTCAGACTCTAGCTATGATGCTTCAGGAACAATTGGATGCAATCAATAAAGAAATAAGGTATCAATACGATGGTTTCAAAAGCTTAAAAAACCTTAATAGTTAACATACGTTTCCCTAGCTATTGGGATTGGCATCTCCTGGTGCCTTGCTAGACCTGCAGAATATCAGTCTCCCCCAGGCCTGCAGTTTGAAAATGTGCCTTATTATAAGATGCATCAAGGTAGGTCACCCTCTTTTAAAGAGTACACATGATACATACAGAGTAATAATACTAATGATGATATAAAGGAATAATTTTTATGCTTTGGAGAATTTCATATATTAGTACTGTATTTACATCATTTCCTCTCTTCGCTTCTTCCATTCAATTTCTCCTTCCTCACTCCCCGTCTTTCTCACTTATGAATGATCTGCTATATTCAACAGTGCCTGAGACTTGCCTTTCAACTTGGCCCTTCCTTATTTCAAAGTGAAACCTGGTTTAATATAGATTTCTTTTGAAGATTGATTAGGTACCTGATAAATGACTCAGGGATTAAGATCACCTGCTGTTCTTCCAGTGGCCCGGGGTTTGATTCTCAACACCTACCTTATGATGCAAAGCTAATGGAAATTACAGTTTCAGGGGATCTGATGCCCTCTTCTTACTTTCACAGGCACTGATCTTGGACATTGTGCACAGATATGCATACACGTAAAATAAAAATAAGTCTCAAAAAGTGGTTCATATTCCTTTTATTTGAAGGTTAAGTTTCCACAAATATGTATTTCAGATCATAAAAGATAGAATTTGAATACAATAAATTGTTTGATTTCACTCCAATATGTTTCAAAATTAGACATAGGTATTATGAGGGTTTGCCATTAAAATTAATTACTATTACTTATATCTTTAAGTTAAAATTTTCACATATATTTACTTAAGTTCTTGGCCAATCAGGTTGATCAATAAAATTTCTTCCTGTATTCATGAAATACATGGACAACTTTTCTAATTTATGTACATTCCTTAAATATGAAAGGCTTAAGATATGTGGAAGATTTATTTTAATAAGTTAATGCCATAACTTGAATAGTCTATCCATCTTTTTGTGTTCTGTATTTGTATGTGTGTGTATGTGTGTGTATGTGTGTATGTGTGTGTGTGTGTGTGTGTGTGAGAGAGAGAGAGAGAGAGAGAGAGAGAGAGAGAGAGAGAGAGAGAGAATATCTACATTTGGGCTTTCCTGAAACTCTTTTTGATGCCCAAGTTGACTTTGACATCATTATTATACTACATTTCTCTTGTCTTCCAAGAAGTGGGGTTATAGGCATATACCATATACCACCATGCCTGTCTTCATCATTTTGTGTTTTAATTCAGAGATAATGAAACATATAGAAGTTGTGTTTTAATTATAAATTATTTTATAGTAGGTATGAAAATGCTTTATAATTACACATTACATACAGAAGAGATAGTCGAAGTGAAAGTTTCCATTGTGCAACTAAAGCTGTCAAACTTGAAATTCTAATTACTATATGCCATAAAGAAAAAAGAACAGATGTTTTTAGCCATAGCCAGTAATTCCATGCAGTTTAAAGTTGTATAACCTCAGAAGGAAACAGAAATGCTAGTTTTGAAATAAAATTTCACAGTAGTTAACTGAGTAGTGTATTGGGTGAAATCCAATTGCCACTAGCAATCTCATAATGCTCATAATGGAAAAAAAATGCTTCTATCTTCTAGGCTAATTCAAGAAGAAAAGGAATCTACAGAATTGCGTGCCGAAGAAATTGAGAACAGAGTGGCTAGCGTAAGCTTGGAAGGTCTGAATTTGGCAAGGGTCCATCCCGGTACTTCCATCACTGCCTCTGTTACAGCCTCCTCGCTGGCCAGTTCATCTCCCCCGAGTGGACACTCAACGCCAAAGCTCACACCAAGAAGCCCTGCCAGAGAAATGGACCGCATGGGAGTCATGACCCTGGTAATGAGGATGCTTCGAGACAAGCTTGATCTGTTGTTATTTGTGCTTAACCACAGGATATGTCCTCTCAGCTGGCTTTCTATACATTTTATTGTCTCTTTACACATGAAAACAATGTGTAAATTTCTTTGCCACCACAGCCTTTTGTAGTAGTTCCTGCCATCCATCAACCACATTAGGAGTGAGGAAACAGTAGAACCTATTTACTTATGCTTTTATGATGAAGTATTTTCTTTTTGTCTTTAAAATATATTCTTAATATCAGTATAATACTGATATTATAATTGTCAGTACATTATCAATCATTGAGAATTTCATACACTGATTATTTGGATATTTATTTTGATCATTTGACTTCTCCCCTTTACCCTGCCTACTACTCCTACATCCATACACCCCCTCCAAAAGCTCCTGAAAACCCTGATCTTTCTCTTTAAAAACCTGCTGAGTCCTATTTGTGATGCCCAAATATTCTCAGAAATGGTGCCTTCCATTGGATTTTGTTTGACCTACACAATATCAAAAAAAAAAAAAAAAAAAAACTAATTCTCACTCCCCCAAAGTCATCAACTGTCCATTGCTCCTCTGGATCCACTTCTTCTCCCATACTAGAGTACTGATTGGCTTGACCTTGTGCAAGACTTTTACAGGAAAAGAAGCTCATGAATACAACAATCTTAGCATAGCCAGAAGACAGTTTTGCTACAGCTCTCCTCAAGCCAGGTTCTTTCGATATTTCTGCTACCTCTTCCTCAATAGTACCCGAGTCTTGTGGGAGAAGTGATATAGATGTCTCCTTTGTGGCTGAGCACTCCACTTACACTTGCTCTCTCTATATGGACCATTTGTTGAGTTTCTGCATTCAGAAGCATTCGGTGAACACAGAAAAATCCCTATTATGTTTGTGAGTTGCACCAATCTCTGGATTCAGAGATACAGAATAGAAAGAAGTATGATACTATATTTACCTATCAGAATAATAGTAGTGGGTGTACCCCAGGGCCCAGCCATAGGTTCTTGGCCAGTATTACAGTACCAGGCATGCATTTCCTCCTGTTCAGCACTCCTGAACACAATCCAAAAGTAGTCGGTTACCTCCATAACACTTGTATCACTATTGCACAATTAGACATACCCTGCCATCCCATCATTATTGTAGCTCACAGTGCTCACAAATGGGTAAGACTGCTGATGCACTCTTCTTACAACATGACAAATAGCACCTTTACTACTTTAAATGCTAACAATAGGAGGAAACTTCCTGCTAGTACCAACCTCATTACTCTAAGTTGTGTGACCAAAATGTGTGTTGTTTTGAGCAATAGATTCTTATCATCGAGTTCTGGTTTACAACTCACAACAATAGCAGTAATCTGCATACTTTTGGATGTCTCCAGAACATCACCAACCAACAACTCAAAGGGAGGTATTCTACACCTGGCACTGAGTTTTACTTGATAACATATGGCTTTAAGGAAGAGTATTATCCCAACTTTGAAATTCTAATTAAACTATTTATAGGAATACATATACATATTAAAGAAAAATATGAAATTCTATGTTTTGACATGATGTTTTAAAACATCATTTTGTTATTTATCCCTCTGACACCCCTTCTTCTGCCATCTTTCCACAATGACCTTCTACATCCCCTTATATTCTTAAACATCATCTGTTAACCTCATAATAATAACTAATCATGATAACTTATGAGTGGCATTTTAGTGCTTAAGATAACTCTTGAAAGAAAAATAGTTATGGAAATATTTGTGCCAGGAAATCAATGTATGTAATCCAGGAAGTCTTTATCACTCAATAAAACTCTGTTTCTAACTTCAGTGTTTTTATAAAGATCTATAGTAAGATGGTCTTTAATCTACAAAAAAATGTTGGGGAAAAATAACCTTTTTGGAAAAAGTTCAAGTTCAAAATTTATATAATCAATATTAGGATGATTAAAAGGTATAAATTCAGGAAAGCACAGAATGAATAAAAATAAAAATGACAGCTAGGTTATAGATACTAAACAAGCTCTAATATTATCAGATGGTAATCATTAATTAGTCCTTTTTTATGCTTCTTTTTATTACTGCCTGTTGCAGCCAAGTGATCTAAGAAAACATCGGAGAAAGGTACTGTTAATAACTTCTATGTTTATTACTTGAGTATCTTTTTTTTTCTATAAAGCATTTAAAATACTATTTTCAAAATTATTTTATTAGCATAAAATATAAATATTGATGTATTTATGTGTTACTTAGTTTTAAATATGATCCAAAGAGCAAATATTTTAAAATCACATTGTTTCTGGTTTCTAGGCAAAGATTCAGTTATGAGCTTTAACTCAGATGAGTCACCCATGGCAGAGTGGGAATATCATAAGGTCAATATTAGAGCAGCACTGGTTGTTTTCAGTTTTTTTTTAACTGTGTATTGTTTCTAATGTTGGATTTATTATTACTTGGTGATGATGAGCCAGCAGATCTTGGTAGACCTATGCAGCAAAATATAACAATTCTTTACCAGTATCAAAAGAAGAGGGGACATGCCCTGAGAAATCACGAAAGGTAGCCAAGAGGCATGAGTAAGATGAAAACATAGCTGCTTGGAGTTGTTTTGAGATCTCTTTCAGAAAATGAAGAAAAAGCAGGTTAAGCAAGTTTATGATTGATAGAACTAGTTCAGGGTGATGGTGTAGGACAATTCTGTATTCTGTCAATCACGTTTTAAATAAGTGCTGATTGGTTAGTAGCCAGATAGGAAACAGAGAAAATAGAGATAGAAATCAAGACACTAAAGTACAACATGAATGCAATATGAGAGGCAATGAACTTGACTCAGAGTCACCAAATCAATCTATTCTGATAAATATGAATAGCAAAGCTTTCTGCCAAAGGATCTCAGATGGGACAGATTTCAGAGGTACAGCAGGTCCTCTGCCTTACAGCATCTTCCAGATGAGGAGCTTGGGGGCCGTGGAGATGACTCAACCATTGAGAACACCTACTACTCTCAAAGAAGACTGGAATTTGGTTTCCAGCACTTACGGGATGACTCACAACATCCTTAATTCCATCTCCATAGGGTCCAATAACCTCTTCTGGCCTCCGTACATTCATATACGCAGAGAAAATGTTCATACATGTGACACAAAAATAAATAAACCTTTAATTTTTTTAAAAGAAGATTTGGCTGTTGGAATATGCTAAAGCATATCTGAATCCAGAAAATATCATTAATTATTTCCTTAAAGAAAGCTATGTTATAACTGCACAAATTAAATTGGTAGATATTTCTGTGTTTTTTTTAGTTATGGCCTATCTATAGGAATAAATATCTATATATAGCTACAGAGTACACATGTATATATAATGTATATATGACTATAAGGTTAACAACACTCTAAGTTGGCTCTAAACAATAAAATTTATCCTTACATAGTTCATCAGATTTCGACTTTCTCTACCTGTTGTAAAAGGTCTAGGACAAACATAAATTTAGAAAAAAATAAAAGATAATAGTGTTTTAAAACTTTGGTCTTATAAAAAGATAAAAAGTTAGGGTGAAAAATTTTGCATAGAAAAATGTTGAGCAACAGAAGTCACAAAAAGAGGACCACTGACCAAGGACTGCTGTGTGGCCAGTTAAATAATTATATATTTGATCTCCTTTAGATGTCCGAAGAATGAATTAAGGATAAGCATTATTACATCAATTTTATTAACTAATTGTTAATTGCAAAGTCTTTCTACAGCAAAGCCTAGGATCCATTTATTTGAGTTGGGTGTTTTAAAGAAGTGAAACTGGGAAGGATGTAGTCTGATGGTGCATGGAGGTGTATTTTATATGAAGATGTTTTAGGAAAACACGGGAAGTAGAAATGAGTACTCTTACCAAGAACAATTGTAGAGAAGAACTATGGTTAGATCATGAAACTGTGAAATTGCTAATTAGTTAGTCCCTGAACTCTGCTCAAAGAGTTTAGAATAAATGCAGGTTTACAAATCTGATTTTCTCATCACGGTGGAGTCACTCCGGAAACAGTTACCGAAAAGCCCCTTCCGATAGGACTCTGGGGTTGAATTGAGGGAAGGAATTATATTCAGGACTCTCCCTGAACTGTAAGAGAATTATAATCCAAGGAGAAAAATGACTGGGAAAAAACAGCATTAAGTTCCAGGAATGCATGTGGTCTTCATTGTATATAACAACCTCTGTATCTAGTATACTCATTGTAGACACAAGCAAGGCATTTCTGCAGAATGCCGTTCTAAGTTATGCTGTGGTCACATAAGAACCTCTCATGTGTATTTCCAGAATCATGCATTCATAGTAGTTTTTCCATAACTTCATTTTTCTAAATAAACTGTGTTATGCAATGGTAACACTGATTTTTGCCAAGTTGTTTAAAGTCCTCATTTTGTTATTTCCCTCTCTGATTTTCAAGTAGTTTTATATGTTCTGAGCAACATTATTCTTTACTAACATGCTTCTCATCTTTTCTGTTTTTTTGTTTTGTTTTGTGTTTATTTTCAAAATTCCCCATGACCCATAATGAAATCAAACAATTTTCAGGAATTATGTTTCTACCTTTCATTTTCCTCCCCAGAATAATATTTATCTTTCTTATAACCCACTGCATATATTAAGCATGCTTGGTATATTTTTTATTTATTGACTAATTTAAACCACTTTATCTGACAAATCATATTTTATCAACTGCCTTCTCCTTTTCCACACTCTTGCTTAAGGATGTATTCCTCATGAGATCCTTACTAGGCATAACACTTTTTCTTTCAGTACATTTTTTGATATGTGTTTAGAGACTTTTGTAAGGAACATATATTCAGGGATTGCGAGGGTGACTCAAATGCATGCTTGTTTAATGTGAGAGATGATGGATTCAGTTTGCAGTCCTGAAAATAAAAATGTGTATATCCATGTATGGCAAGAACAGCTCTTTATTGATATATGAAACTTTTTACTCTTAAACCATATTTTATATAATTAATTAGCTTAAGGATATATTATCTTTACTCTTAAGAAGATTTGAAAATCACATCATTAATAATATCAATTTGTCTGTGTAATACATACTTGTTTGTGTTAGAGTTACTCTAGTACCCTTCCATTAATGATTCTTGCTTTGAGGCAAGTTCAGTTGAAATTATAATTAGCTCATTGGATACGCTACCCCTGTTTCTAGATTGCAGTGGTGGAAGAAGATGGACGGGAGGATAAAGCAACAATTAAATGTGAAACTTCTCCTCCCCCAACGCCCAGAGCCCTCAGAATGACTCACACACTCCCTTCTTCCTACCACAACGATGCCCGGAGGTAAGACTCAAGCAGGGTGCACATGAAATATTCTCTTCCCCAAATTCTTCCTCTTCCATCACTGTTGTCAAATAATCTTCTGTATTATTCATAAAATAATAAGACTCAAGAGATGTCTCAATTGTTAAGAGTGTTTACTGCTTTTGCAGAGGACCAGAGACTGCTTCTTAGCCCCTACTTTAGGCAGCTCATCAATGCCTATAACTCCAGCTATAAGAGATCCAACATCTTCTTCTGGCTTCTACAAGCACTCTGCACTCATGTACACAAGACTCACACACAGACATTTATATATATATATATATATATATATATATATATATATATATATTTATATATATATATGTGTGTGTGTGTGTGTGTGTGTGTATAATTAATGTGCACATAATTTGACTTGAATTATATTTCTCTATCATGCCCTTTTCCTGCTCTCCCTTTCTCCATATCTCTGTGACATATGAAAATTTCCAATCATATACCTAACTTCAGCTTTTAAAATTTGCAAGATAACATTTTTATATCTTTGTGACAAGTCCATATGTAAATTACTTTTCTATATTTAAAAAAGATTTCCTATTATATTTATGACTAGTGATAGAAATTATAGGATTTCTGGGACAAGAATATACATGTGTAGGTATTGTAAGAGAAAGTGAGATCTGAAAAATCTATTCCTGGACTTCTTTTGTCGCATATCTATGCTACTGCTCTGATTCTAAGTCCTCAGGTCAAAATCCTTAGCATTAAAATGAACGCAAGCCAAAATAGTTTTTAAATGTTGAGGAAGCATTTCATATGCCATAAGCTTCATCAAAGTGTCCTATCCAAATGGCTAAAACTTTCAGATTGGTCTCTCTAATCAAGAGCACCAATATACCTCAGCATTTTGTTTATATCTCACACCCCAGACCTCTTCCTGGTTGTCAATGGCGGCAACATTTCTAAACACAAGCAGCATGACTTAAAAAATCATCACATCCTCTCATTAGTAGCTTCAGGACAAATGGTTTTGAAAAGTGGGATTTCTGTGCTGACAGGCATTTCTATCTATATGACCGGTTTCAATTACTACTTTCAAAATTTGTACTTCTTTATTCTTCAAGAGCAGAGGATTATATATCATTATATGAGAAGCTTTTATTTATGGAGGGTAGAGTATTGAAAATCAAATTATATTGGGTGTATAAGTAAAGTTTAAGGACTGCATAGAGCAGCAAAGTGTACAATGCTATAGCAATAGCTGGTGAACTCCTCTTTCTAAGACAGTGTCAGACATACTTATCAGAATCGAGAATTGATCAACCATTTGGAAGTCATTTCAGTTTATTGTGCATCAAAATAGTATTTTTTTTTTTTTTTTGGTTTTTCGAGACAGGGTTTCTCTGTGGTTTGGAGCCTGTCCTGGAACTAGCTCTTGTAGACCAGGCTGGTCTCGAACTCACAGAGATCCGCTTGCCTCTGCCTCCCGAGTGCTGGGATTAAAGGCGTGCGCCACCACCGCCCGGCTCAAAATAGTATTTTATTGATAGCCATAGACCAGGAGGACAGTGATGAGCATTTGTAATGTGTTGCTTCTAGATCTCAGTAAGATGGCATTTATAATAAATGAATTTGTTTCTCACGAGCAATAAAGAAGGATGGATAAAGCAACCCCCATCAAGACAAAAGTTAGTAGCCTCAATTTCACAATTAAAAGAATGCCATGTGTCATTCACTTTAAAGTTAAAAAAAAAACTGTGTGGAAATAATAATGGACCAAATGCTCAATAAGCAGATACTAAATATAAAGATGTTGAATTAGGCTAAGGTGGAAGATTAATTTGATGGTATATAGGACATAGAGGGAAAAAAAGATGTCTGGAACAAAATAATGTAATTTTTTTCTACTGAAAATTTGGAGACCCATGGAACCAAGAAAGATGCATTTCAATAACTTGGAGAAAAATGAGGGGGAAAGGGGAAGAATCACATTCTAAATTTCCTTGTTCCTCCTTTTTGTCACTTCTAAAGGAAAGATGCCTTGTGTGATTTGTGGATAGTGCAACAGAATGAGCAGTTCTTCCTCTTTTGTGTTTTGCAGCAGTTTATCTGCCTCTCTCGAGCCAGAAAGCCTTGGGCTTGGCAGTGCCAATAGCAGCCAAGACTCTCTTCACAAAGCCCCTAAGAAGAAAGGAATCAAGTCTTCAATAGGGCGCTTGTTTGGTAAAAAAGAAAAGGCCCGACTCGGGCAGCTTCGTAAGTACAGGGTTTTCACTTTCTATTTTCACTGGGATTTGCCACTTCTGAGTGTCCTTGTGTTTCATTTCTCAGCTCTAAGTTCCTTTTCATACCTAGTGAGTTTTCAATTTAAGCCGCTTCATAAATCCAATGTAGCTGACTCATGCTAAATAAAAGTTACAGTGAAACAATACTGTAAGACAATCAACTCTTTGGTTTCTTTGTTAACAGCGATAGCTGGACTATTTAAAAAAACTAATATGATGAAGTTGCATTAACACAGTTAATCAAGCATTATTATTGACATCCATATTTTATTGATGAGTAAACAAAGTTTTAGTAATTTTCAGGACAAGTGATCACCATAAAAGGAGCTAGAGAGAGAGGGAGCTCAGCTGATCAAATGGAAAACAAGTAGTTATGAGGACCTGATTTCAGATCCCTGGAGCACACGTAAAAGTCAACATGGTGGGAGATGTTTGTGAGGCCATTGCTGGTAAGGTTAGTGATAGGTGTCCCCATGGAGCTCACTTGACAGGTCCCCTAATTAAATGCATAAGCTTCATTGCGTGGCACACGAACAAGAAGATAAGATGGAGAATGATTAAGGAAGACAACTGCAAGCACATGCACGTGTACACAAACATACACACACTTACACACATGTTCACGCACACCTATATGCTTTTGTGGACTCACAAGAATATGTATAAGCATCAAACAAATACCCAAATTTACCAGGCAAAAAGAAATAGAAAAATATGCTTCCACTTAGAGCATCTATAAATATCAAATCTTAATTATGTGAACTTAAAATATTTTTTTGCAGAAAAGAGATAAAGTCTACATACACCAAAAGGAACTATAATCTCAGACAAAATAACAAGGGGATAAAATACAAAAGACACGTAAATGCTATCACAGTATCTTGTTAATACCTCTCAGAAATAAAGATGAGATTAGCAGGAAGCAATAAAGCCTTAGAAGTTTGGCTAGGATAAGTTATTATCAGTTTCTGATAATATGAATACATGAACTAAATGACACTAGGTAAGTATATGATTATGAAAAAGACACATGCACATTCATACATTCATTCATATAGAAATTATAAATTTAGCAATTGAAATTTCTGAAATAAAATATAAACCACTGGCACTTTGGTATAATGGAATATCTTCTTAGTGGATGTTTTATTGGTGTAAAGAGACGCCATGACCAAAGCACCTCTTATGCAAAGGAGCTTTAGAAGGTTAGAACATGAACATCACGGTGGGAAACAGAAAGCATGAAGCAGGAGCAATAGCAGAGAACTTTACATCCTCCATCCTGACCAGGATCCAGGGAAGGGAGTAGATCTTCCTGTATATATCTCTTTAGAGTTAAATTGTTAGGAAGAGATTGAGCTGCTTCTAATGGTAAATGTTAAAGTTATACAATTTTCAAATATGTTCTGGGCTCACTCTTTTAGAGAAACTATTATTTACAAGTAAATGCTCCATCACCTGGGCTTAATTTTCTGCTATAGCACCAAAGTATTTCTACTTATGATCTTAAAGTTATGAAGTTTATTCAAATTATTCACAATCACTTCCCTGGCATCCAGGCTGTTCGAAGACACAAAGCAGCCTAACCTATGATAGCTGATATGCATGTATGCATATGACTGTGTGACAAGCTTAACTGAATGGAGCTGTTGAAATGGAACCTGTGGATTCTGATTTCCCATAAAGGATCCTTAGGGAATAAGAAATATAACATAGCAAGTGATGACCAATTTCTTCAGTTCTTTGCATATTTTGGAGATCAGACCTCTATCTGATGTGGGGTTAGTGAAGATCTTTTCCCATTCTGTAGGCTGTCATTTGTATTGTTTACTGTGTTCGTTGCTTTACAGAAGCTTTTCAGTTTCAGGAGGTCCCATTTATTAATTGTTTCTTTCATGTCTGTGCTACTGGGTTTATGGAAGTGGTCTTCTGTGTTAATGCGTTCAAGTGTACTTCCCACTTTCTCTTCTATGAGGTTCAGTGTGGTTGACTTTATGTTGAGGTTTTTGACCCATTTGAACTTGAGTTTTGTGCATGGTGATAGATAAGGATCTATTTTCATTCTTCTACACATTGATATACAGAAATGAAAATCTATTTTTAAGTATGTCTACATACCACTCAAAATGTTTATTTCTTTTAATTTGCTGACCTATCATGGTCTTTACCACATTATTTGTTATTTTTAATATATTGTATAACTCACAATTGTATCATTAAAATGTTTGCTAAAATAGAGATCTTTATTAACATTTTAGTGTATATGCTTATCTGAGGTTATGTAATTTACTTTTTCCCTTTAAAATATTTTTGATTGTCCTTTATACATAAAAATTTTTATACTTATTTTCAGTTGAATTTGATAATAAAATACTAAAGCATTAAAGATTTTTTTCATCAAAATTACATTTTATCAGGATATCTAAGATATAATTTAAAACCTAGAAAATACACTCTCCTACAAACCTAAGCTTTGTTTTATACTTTAAGAAACTCTGAATTTTTAGAACAGAATATATGAAGTTATGTTTAATTATAGTAACAAATATATCAACTCCTCCAAAGTCAGGAAGCAAGAAAACCTATTTATGCAGTCTCATTATAGAATTTGTTTTCTTCCAAAATTTCCATTGCGTAAAAAATGATCATGTTATATTTAAAAAGTTGAGTTCCTGAAAAACTTTAAATCACAAGTTAATTGTTCTTTTATTACTCAAAGAAATGTGTGATCCATTCAACAACCTGAAAATTTAAAGTGTTTCATCAGCATTGAGTAGGTTTGCTGCATCAAATGTGGTGGAACCATGTGGACCAATAAAGAATTTTATGAGTTTTAAATCAATCGTTCACTTCATCTCTACTTTAAGAGAACACTTTTATTGTTGTACTCTGATTATAAATGATAATTTATGGATGGCACATTGGAAATAAGGTAAAATATTCTGTCACTATGCATAATTGAAATTTTCAGGTTTGAAAATGATTCCTAGGAGAATTTCAGTTAGCCACTGGATGACTTTCCAAATAAGAGACACAGTGAGTCTCCATCATAAAACTCTTTCCACTGCATTAATTGCACATGAATATAATGAATAAAATAAATTTGGTCTTGTATCTTCACAATGCTAAATTGAATTCGAACAGTAACTGATGCGTTTTGATTAAAGATCCTTCTAACAATTATTCAGTTCAGTAATAAGATTATCAGGCTAAGAGCTAATTTATATCAAGATTCTGTGTTAATATCCAGCTTTACAAATTAAATGTAAAAATAAATTATGAAAAACAGTAGTAACTAATTTCCTAGTTCATTCTGTGAGTGAGAGAAGCCATATCATAATCAAGTCCTCAAACTGCAAGCAATAAGATATGCAAAAGATATGTAACAATTGTCTTCAATGACTGTCTTCTGATATGTTGGTTAAATTTGGAGGATGACATTTTCTAAAAATTAAATTATTGTTAGTATTAGATTAGTATTATTTGAAGATTTGCAGTTTTATGCTTAAATATAACTTAAATCCCTTCTATTTAAAGTTTATATATATATATGTACAAATGTATGTGTATATATATATATACCTATAATATATTTATCTTCTACTTGAAAAATGTGAATAAGTTTTTTGAATGTGACTTTATATTTTTTACATACACTAAATACAAAGAGAATATAGGATATAGTATTAAGCCCTCATTTTTCAATATAATTAAAAATTTATGAATCAATGTGAATTCAGGATTTTGGAGTGAAATAAATAGTTTGTAAGATATGTCTATCCATAAATGACACATATAAAACTTCTCTTGTTCACACCAAGATTACATATACTATTTTTCGGACTCTATTATTCAAATAATATATTAGGTAAAAAATAATCTTATTAAGGTATTTTAGAAAGACCTAATTTTTTTTTCAAACACATAAAAAAATCAAAGTAAAGGCCATCCCTGAATGCAAAAGACTTCTGATTAAGGGTACAAGACTTAGCAGACTGAACACACTGAGTTCCAGGAAGAGCAGATGCAGAACTTTTAAAAGCCAACAAGGGCCTCTATGTTCTTTAAACTTGGGACAGAAGCATATGTCTAGGTTTCTGTTTAGCAGAATATTTCTGACAGTAAATGAGACATGACAAGCACACTAATCAAGCATTCACTCTTACTTTCCACTGAAAAAGTCTAACAGAATGACCTTGAACATTGGCTACTGTACAGCCCTCTGTTGGTAGACATACATATATATATATATATTGTCTTCCACACTGATGCTTGTGAAAATGAATGGACAACAGTAGGCACTTCTTTTTGTATTGATTTTTTTTCAGAGATTTTGTATGTGTAATTCTCTCCTTTGATGTCTGTTGAGACAGTGATCCAAGGGCAAACATAAAAGAAAGAGTGTTTCTGAGTAGTTGCTCCAAGAAGTCTTGGAGACTTTAACTTCAGGACAGACAAATACCTGTATCTTGATCTCAAGTCGTTTTTTCACAGGGGGCTTCATGGAGACTGAAGCTGCAGCGCAGGAGTCCCTGGGCTTAGGCAAACTTGGAACTCAAGCCGAAAAGGACAGACGATTGAAGAAAAAGTAGGTTTGGAGATCGTTTTCCTCATTTTTCTAATGCTTCACTAGCCTTTACCTTTTTCTTTTGCAAGGACTTCCAGAAGAAAATATATGGGAAACAAACCTACTTAACAGCTTTCCTGGTATTAGCTCAAGCAACTCAGAGTTCATGTTTCAAATAATAATGAATTAAAGTTAGAAATGAGTGTAAACTCTCCCACAAGATAAACCACACAATTTAAACTAGTGACTAAAGCATTGATTTCAAAACTGAGTTACATATAACATGCTTACATGTAGTACTGGCAACCATATAGGGCACTATTGAAGTTAAATGAAGTTCTGATTTAGTATGACAAAATGAGAGAGACATTTTGTTTTTTCTCAGGACAATTATGTGTTTAGTCTTAATAAAGAAAGATTTAAAAGTAAAAAATAAATATATATTCCTCTGACTGAAAATAAGCTTAATATAGGCGGGAACAGATTGTTTTGCATCTGCCAGGAAACGATAGTGTATCTTTTCATTCACATGTAATATGGAACATTGAAATGACTTGTAAAATTGGTAAGAATTTAATTTCAACAGCTGTTAGAGAGGGATTCCATGAATAACATATTTTTAGCAGCATAGCAACATTTCAGTGACAAAAAGTCATCATCCTAAAAGCAAAGTCTTTAAAAGCATAATAATTTCCCTTTATTATCAAATCTCCTTGAGAGCTGCTCCGTCTCTGCTTTCTAAAGGTTCCTTGCGTTGTTTCAATGGTTTTTGTATTTCTCTTTCTCCTGCCAAAGTATCGTCATTTCTCTAGCTATCAATTTGTGGTCCATAAATTTCTGTTGTGACAAAGCACAGGTTTGTCCAGGTACTTCACGTTTTGTCTTTTGTCTTGCATTCCAGGCATTTGCCAATAACGGGAAAATGCACAAGACATCATGAACATGCTAATTTATTCGCTGGCAATTTACTGAAACTACCCAGACCCAATAGAAATGCAATGTAGAAGAAATTCATTGAGAATATTGTATCTTGAATAGGATTAAATGGTCTGTCATGAAACGTTTCTTATTTAGGTGCTGGTAACTTAAAAATATTAGTATTTTCCATAAATTGCTCCCAATATCTTCATTTGTGTCATCCTTAAGGAATGCAATTTCTGATTTCATAACTATCTGTGGTGAGCATTCTTCTAAGAAAAATTTATTATTTTCTTTGTTTATATTCTGGTTAGTTTACTACAAATAGAAAAGAAACATGAAATTTTAAAACAAGTCTGACTAATGGATAGACTTAATTAAAATATGGAAAACATTTTATTTTATATTGACTACTCCATAACAAGGACCCAGTGGCATTATATATAGCCAGTGCAGTGAGATCTGATGTGGCGAAATGCTTATATTTACTCGGTACTTGCTTGAAAGAGTTATTTTTTGTATTACAGCATTATTATAAAGGGTGTTTCATTACATATCAATTATCTCCACATCACTGTATTTCCAAGTAGTTATTCTCATCATATATTAGTAGCTCGTCCTCAAGCTGAAACTCAACTATTTGCAAATTTTACACATTTATAGTCCTGGTGGTCCTCATTTAAATTCGTGACTTTTCATTGGTTTCCTGCCTTCATTCTCTTAGTCTTTAAAGGCTGGGAAATTTATTCATAAAATTTAGTGTTCATGCAATGTTGTGATGTTTGTCATGTGAGTTCATCTTTGCATTTGTTGTGATGCTTAGACCTCACCCATCATCCTCTTTCTTATTTTACTGCATTATAGGTGCATTTTTCTGTCTGATGAAAATGAAGATCTCTTCCAAAACTGACATTAAGAGCAGATAGAAATAAGAATTTTACACTTTCACTTTTGTGTCTGTGATCCTGATCAGTAAGCACTCATTTCCTTTTCTCAGCCATCCAGCCAGTTATTTAAGACCTTATGCTATTTGCTTAGGAGAATTTAAAAGTTAATATTAATCATAGCAATATTAAACACAACAACATAGAATATGGATCAGCCAAATGCTGAATAGATTAGACAAAAACACAAAACAAAACAACCTCAATTTCTAAACAAGGTTCAATTCATCCAAATTTTAGGGAAAGTCTGTTTGGCTAGTACTTCTATTTTAGTTGCTTTTCTCATTGCTGTAACAAAACACTTAACATGAGTCATTTAAGAAAGGAAAAGGTCATTTTGGTTGGCAGTTTCTGCTTAACAGTCCTTAATTATAGGAAATGTGTATTGGGAGGAGCAAGAGGAAGATGGTCTAATCACATCTACGGTTAGAAAGTAATCAATACTCAAAGTGCTCAAAGTACTTTGTTCTTTTTATTCAGAAGATGATTTCAGACCTGTCAAAAGTACCACCCACCTCTAGGTTGGGTCTTTCCATTCCTACTCTAGAAAATCTAACCGATGCACACCCAGAGGTCCGTCCTCATGTTTGAGTCTAGGTTCCATCAAGTTGACTGTTAAATTTCACCATCCCATTGCCAATGAAGAGAAACCATCGTTCTTTCTTAAATTCATAGTTTGTCTCATTATAAACAAAAATAGACAGTTTAGATCAGATGTCAACATAATACTGTTAAAATGGGGCTTGCACATCTGGCAAGTGTGCATACCAGTTAAAGAGCTGCTAGGCACCGTCTTCCAAAGTCTCAGGTATAAACCCTATGCCATCTTAACGGTAAAGTTTACAATTTTGTCATGTGATAATATAATACACTGAAGACAATAACATTTTTGTGTCATCAGAATTCTTGCATGCAAAAGTATTTTGGAAAAAATATTATATTTTACAAATATTTTATCAGATTTTTAATCTCTACATTCTCCCCCCCTAATATATGTAGCTATTAGTTTCTCTTCTGTCCATCCTTAGAAATGATAAGGGAGGACCTAATTCCCTGAGGTACTGGAGATTTTAAAAGAGACTTTATAATTAAAAACTAACAAATAATCATCAAAGGTTCAGAATTATTGTTTTAAAAATATTCTCAATAATTTTTAGCTAAGTGCTCTTCTTCCAGTCATATTTAATGTTAATGATGGTAATTCTTTGCATATTGTATATAAAATTTATTTTCCAATTTATTATTTGGTGGTTTTTTTAGACCTTTTGGATGGGTCTTAATGTTTGAGGATCTAAAATTCTTTTAGTATATGTCTATTTATTTATTTATTTATTGTAATGGCAAAAAAACAATATGTGTGCTAGAAAGGTATTCTAGCAATGACCTATTTACCCACCCATTATTCATTTTATGTATATTTTACATTCTTCTTTACATTTTCCTTCTGTGATGTTGTCAGATTAGATCATTCAACATATTGACCCAAGGAGTTCACATTTGTGGTGTCTTTTTTGACCCCAAGAAACGTATTATATTATTGACTGGACTAAAGCTAAAGATGGCTTCATGAATAATCAAATATACCTAACTCTGAAGACAAAGTGAGTAAGCAGGACACTTTTAAAAACCAACAGAAATATTTATTTTATCTACAAAATTTTATCTACAAAAACGTGAGTCATTGAGATTATTGCTTAATCTTTAATTTTTCCCCAGACTGTCAAAATTCTAACCTTTTTAGTGAAATATATGTACTTGTTTAAAGTCTCCTATATCTTAATACATAATTGAAAAGTATTGATGAGGTTTGACACGCTAAGATAGTAATTATTTTCTTCAGTTATAGCATCACCGATACTTTATTATTACATAGTATAGTTTTGTACATCCTCGTGAATTGTTAACACTACTAAATGAACATTGATTTTATATTTGGATCAATTTTTATCATCATTAAAATGAAATCAACGCTCCAGTTCAGCTACCAAGAGCATCCTCTCCAGAGAACTATCATTTTCCTTGGAGCATGGCAATCAAATTTAATCACCACCAATGAATCTTTATATTAGAACTTCAAAGAGCTCAAAGGGAAGCTCTAAAAATTTGATTAATTTATTCTCATTACAGTCCTGAGGCCCCACTTCCATACATAATTTTTATTATGTTTGGAGATGCTAAACTTCTAATCCTTGGCATTTCAGAGGTTCAGAGTAAGCATATCTCTAAGCAAAGTAAATGTCACTTAAACTATTTATACTCTAAGATACCACAAAAGTCCATAATATTTTTATTCAATAAATATTTATCAAGTGACTATGTGCCAATTTTAACTTCTAAATGAGTTGTAGTCAAGACCTTGTGTTCAAATATGTGAACATATTTTCCTCTCTAGGTGGTATTGTGTTCATGGAAGGTAAACATCTTCTCTTCACTCACACACATCCATTTTCTAGCTATACTATAGAAATGGACTTTAGCTACATAAAGCATAAAGAAGGAGTAACTGGGCAGAAATTGAGCCTTTCATGGATCCCTGAGACATCAGAGCCAAAGTCCTTCCAGATGACAATAAGAGATTATATTTCTGCACTGTGCTTTCAGAAGCACATCCATTCCTCCTCACTCCATTGGAGTCTTGAAATCCAACTAAATTACACAGGGCAAGGATATGCTACTGCTGAGGGTTCATGCAGCCACTAAGGGTGTGCTGCTGGACAGCCAACTCAAATAATCTATTATAGTATAACTTTTAGGAACCTAAACCCAATATTTCTTTGGGAAAATATGTTCCAGTTTTCTTCTTCAGAGCACAGAGGGTGGCTTTGTGCCTGTATTGAGAGCAAGCTATCATTTTAGAGATCTGTTGTGCTCCAACCAAGGAATATCAAAGAAGTCTTTCCTAAGCCTAAATAATATGATACAAAGACTAACAGTGAAATACAATGCAGTGTTCTTTCATGAAAACTGGTAGTGATTTCTTTTATGTAGTTAGACATATCTGATCTCTTTGAAAAATGACAAAAAAACGAGAAAAGAAAAAGCTAGTTAGAGCCAACAGTAAAGTAACAATACATTACAGAGTAAGCATCATCCAAGTTTTAAATTATATATTTTATATCCATATTTTATATTATATGATCAAACATACTGTTGCTTTCA